TTGAGACTGTAATGATGTAATATCTAGTCTATCTATCTAGAACATAAACATCCCTAATAAGGTCCAGAACACATTCTGTGCATCTTGTCATCCCCCAAATCCACGTTCTTACAGGGTGCCATCAATCTCCACAACGAGGCTCAAATCTCGGAGTTAGTCACCAGCCTACGAGTGAGGGAGTCGACTCAACGGGACATCCTGGTCTTCCATTGTGAATTCTCCTCAGAGAGAGCGCCCAAACTGTAAGTTGCCCTTGTGTACCTGGTTTTATCTGTCTCTCTTCTCTCACCCTTAACTTTGTTGAACTGACCCGAACCTTGGCATTGAAACAGTTTTACGCTGTGATGCACAGTTCATACCGACATGTTCCTCATCTGATGCAATCTTTCTTAACCCCAGATTACGCCATCTGCGGAGTTTAGACCGGAAGTTGAACAGCGACTGCTACCCGTTCCTCTTCTACCCGGAAGTGTACTTACTGGACGGCGGTTACAAGGCTTTCTATGAACAACATCAGGTACGTTCACAGTTGTTGTTTCAGTAAAGTAATTATACTTGACTCAAACTTTGGCTAAATCTAAAACGAGCGCAACTTGGGGAGGAGTAAACTTAGAAACGCCATATCTAGTTTTTTTATATTTTATTAATACATCACGCATTTCGCAAACATTTGCTTTACAAGAGATCACACAAGTAAGGTTACTGACAAAGGTGCTTGTTTCAGCGACAGTGTCAACCAAACACCTACATTCCCATGCTGCACGAGGACTACGCCAGTCAACTACGTCACTTCCGGTCTAAGTCCAAGACGAACAAGACCGCGAAAAAGAAATACGTGCGCAGTCGGAGCTTAGAAATAGATGTTTCACCACTGAAGTTTTCCCACTTATGAGGCTGACATCACTCAACGATCACGATGACATTGTTGCTATTTATATATTGTTATGTAATCTTTAACTTGTTGACTGTTTTCTGCATATAGTGCTGGTTGTCTGTGGTATAAATCCGAAATAAAGTTGAAATATACGCACCCACTTCTTCTATCAATATGTTTTCAAGATTTACAACTGACTTGCTTTCGCTTGTGTTTGTGACGGATGTGGCAGGACACGCTCACCTTGTGAGATTACTATTTGATAGTCTCTCAAAAACCGTGCAATAGGTGAATGAGTGAGTTTGGGTTTACGCCGCTTGTAGCAATATTCCAGCAATATCACGTCGGAGGACACCAGAAATGGGTTTTCAATGGCACAAAGACAACATTGAAATCGAGATGCACTTGCATCTTGCATGCATTCAGGCATCAATTGCCGGCTTGTATGGCAAACATTCACTTGTTTTCTGAACACAGCAGCTATGGCTAGGTTAACGAGAGGTGTTGATGGACGAAATGACGGTCCTGGCGACGTGATGTTACATGGGATCGACCACGTGGACGGTCATCAGTGCTGTTGGGGGCATGTATTGCTGTCTCAGACGTTCTATCGTTCGTACGCTGCAATTGAAGTCATTAGCAATGACTCGAGCACGTTGACCAGCGTCTAGAGTACGTCCAATGGCTTGTTGCCGTTGATCTCGCGTTAACATAGCCATAGCTGCTGTGTTCAGAAAACAAATGAACTTGACTTCCGGTGTAAATTTAAAAACAAATACTCCATTAATACTTAAATGTCATTTCCAATATTACGACGTTTATTTTGCCTTTCAGTATATTCCACACAATGGCTAGCTTTAATAGGTAAAAGAAATATCTAAAAGCCAGTATCTGCAAAACTGGGGGTAGCTTTGTGGTTAATGCGTTCGCTTGTCACCACGAAGACCCGGGTTCGATTCCCCATATGGATAAAATGAAGCCTATTTGTGGAGTCCGCCGCCGTGATATTGCTTGAATACTGCTACAAGCAGCGTTAAACCAAATTCTCTAACTCACTCACTCAAGCGGTTCGTAACGCAAACAATTTTAAAAAAACTTTTCTTGTGAAAAGTATATCTTCTCGCTCAAAATGGTATTCAAGCTGGTTCTCAAATTTAGAACTACAATCCATACCCTGCCAAGCTGAAACCGGTCGCTGGTACACTATTTCGAGAGTGGAACGGGTGTCAGCTACCTAACTCGCATGATCAGGGGAAGGAGTTTCACTCTCTTATCAGGGAGCGGGGATAACTTGTCCCCAATCCCTTTCACATTTGTGAATAAAATATGTTTAAATCAAATCAAGCCCTTCTCCAGTAAGGAAGTCGTCACAATCCGAAAGCAAATCTGTTCAAATTCTCAAAAAGAGAGAAAACATTTCTTTTGAAAATAATTTATATACTGTTTAAACATGTTACTGTTGAAACTTAATACCATATCCTGCCATCTTAAAATGAATTGTTAAGAACTCCCCTGCGCTGGATACAACTGCTAAAACAAAAACCCAGTTAGATAAAGTTTTATGTCTATTTTTTTTAAAATTTTTTTATTTATTTTCTTTTCAAATTTGTATTCCTCTAAAGATGTTACATGAGACATACATGGTGTATATGCATTGTACAGGACATGAGAAATGAGAAATATATATGGTATATATTTATAGTTATATATTATAATTACAGGGCTGTAGCCGGTAAAGTCACATTTCCAATAGATTAATTAATTAATGGATTACCGTAACCGGTATAAGAGTGTCCCCATATATTGTTTTCACAAGAAACGAATAATCTTTCCTACTCACAAACGTGGTGTTTAAGCAATACCGGTAAAGGACTGTTCCTACACTAAACGCTAAAAGAAACGTTACCCTCTTACCTTTATGAATTACTTAAAAACTATCAAAGATATGTTAGAAGGTATTAGTTTACAAGAGAGCTTAACAACACAGCTTTATGCAAATCACGAACCAAATTATCAAACGAATTCATATTTAGGTGAAATGCATCTTTTTCAGAAGAGTTAAATTGTCCTATTTTCGACCATGCCGAAATAAACCAATAACAATGATTTAGATGTCCAAAAGAAAGGGTGAAATAAAACTCTGCTTTTTCAACTATTAAAACAAGAAACAACTGTTGTAGAGTGTGTAAAATTGTAAAAGAATCATACCTATGATTTCAGTCTTTAAAAAGATTTTCTGCTGATTTGCATTAGTGAAAACAAGTACAACGTATCTTTGATATTGTGCAAAAGTGTTTAGGAACACATCAACTTATCTTTGTTAACATTTGTGCTTGCAAAGTAACATTTTTCCATTTTCTGTTTACACACAGCAATATCAATCACCAAAACGTAGAAATATTCAAGCAGTATTTGCATCAATTTCACGTACAGAATGATTTTATAGGGTATAAAGAGAACCTAGAATGTCCAGATTAATCTAACTGATTTCGAAAACCAGGGCCACCGTACCAACAAACACCTAGAAGGATGGCACAATAAGGTAAAGAGACTTGTCCAAAAGTGCCACCCTGACATTTACGAGATGGTAAAGCTCTTTCAGCGTGAGCAGTCTCTCACAGAGGTTGCTGTCCTGAGACTATCTGACAGAACCTTCACGAAGAAAGAAATATAACACACTCATGCATCACTGTAGACCAAGGTTCTGAACCAACACCTGAGTGACATGGAGTATACGGACCATGTGGGCGACCTCCTTCATCTGCAGTAGGGGGTGTAAAAAAGAATGTTTGTAAATGATGTTTTGTGATCTTACGCCATTTTATGTTTGTACATTTGGCAACAAACTAAACCATTATCATTATTATTATGTTTTACAGATTAAGATGTATTATTATGTGATAATATTATATCTAAAATACCTATTAGTATATAACATGTGTATTGTGCCAGTTATAGAAATGAAATATGTTGTGATCTGAATAAACCTATGAGGAAACATGTCTTGTTAGTTAAATACGGTAACCTGTTTGAATCACTAAACAGCCACATTCCATATTCACGCAACCATATCAGCAACATCAATTTTGGCTATCTGTTTCGGAAATGTGGTTTTCCCGACCTGTAACCACTTACTACCGCACTCCCCAACACAAACAATTATACCGAGCCTTCTGATATTGTTGTTCAACGTCAGTGGTACACTGTCCAGTCATCTGCATTCCTTTGTTTTCCAGCCAAACAACGAGTTTTAATCTTCAATGGATGTTATTAACTGTGTAACTATATTTACACATTGCCTAATGCCTAAATAAAAGCAAATTGAACCACTGTCTTCCTCCCTGCCTGGTCCAGTGTGTTGGTACAAACATCGCCTCTAATACTGTGTGTATTGCTGATACTGCTAGCATTGTTAACTCATCTTTATAGGCAATTGCACATTGTCACGTGTGTAGCATGAAGCACCCATCACCCATTTGTACACACAGCATTTATTCCAACCTCAATTATCGGTATATTTGATGCCCGCCTGGATTATCACTCGGGGAATAATCTCCCCTCATCCCCATATAGAAACGCTGGACACACAAGCCATCACCCTTCCTCCCCAAGCTGGAGCGCTGGTCACTCACAAGGTGCTAGCTTCCTATAATTGCTCCGTTTTAGTCGGGATTTGTTGTTTCAGAGTTACAGACTCTGTTTGCCTTATTACACCGTCATTAGACTGAAGTGTTAACGATAGTATGCAGTAGTTGTTAATTAGTTTGTGTATGTAATCAGGTCATTGATGGTGTGTAGGTATATATACAGTTTGGGAAACTGCAGAGGGCATCATTATCTAGCGACTGTTGTATAAGACACAGGGCAGTCACAACAAGAAACTTTACACTGCCTAAAACAGGAAGACAGACACTACGGGTAAGGATTCCGCCTACAAGACGTTATAATGGCTTGCTTACAACCAGAATCATGATAACTTCCATCAACATCTTCCAAGGATGGAGATGAAAATCACATATTATTTGCAGTACTGCAGCGTGCTACATCAGTAACATTTCTGTTGTATCTTAATAATATGAATTTGGATTCTTTTTATAACGATGTCGATATTTGTTTTCAGGTTAAAATGACCCCTTCTGCAATGTCCTTGATGAACACACTTTGCCTTGATAGTCCTGATCACGTGACATCTGGTCGTCTTTCTATTCCTGAAGATACCGGCGTCTTGCCTCGAAGCCTCACGTTCGATGACGACGATGACTCACGTGACAGCGGTTTCGAATCTCACGGAAGTGATTCCGAGGTAAAAGTCCAAACTGTGTTACTATTTCCACAGATCAAGAAAACATGCTTTTAAAGTTTGGCAAGTAATGGTAAACACACAATACACACCCATATCTTTATCAAGAACCAAACCAAACAATGCACCTTCAGAGAGTAATCTTAATATTCCCTAACTTAGGATCCTGCGGACTCTGGGATAGATTAGGCCCCAGGAACCCGTGCTGGTCTTAAGAGGCGATGAAAGGGATCCGTGGTCTGACTCGGTGGTGGATTGAGCGTCACCATAGCCTGACGTCGTGTATCGTTCCTCATTTTATCAATCACTGGATTTTCTGGTCCAGCGGTCATATAACTTGACTATTTCCGCCTCTACCAAAAACAAAACGAAACCTGTTACATTTATGAATGTATTCCCCCTTCTCCATTTACAGGGATCCCCTCTCAATTGTTTTCTGTCGATCAGAACAATCACCGACTTCAGTTCAGTCAAAAAATCTTTATTCTCACCAAAACGGCCACGTGATGATGATGACAGCCCAACTGCAAAGAGATCTAGATGTGATGAAGTCATGTGTCGTGAAGAGCTCTATATTTCGGAATCCCCCGAATCCATGAAATCAGCTGTGGATAAAATGGAGGCGGAAATCAATCTGATTGGCGATGGCTCAAAGGTAATAAGCTATGCATGCATGGAATATTTATAAAGCACTGAAGTTGTACTGAAATGGTCCACGGGATCTGTCGCTCATTTCTTTTGGTTTGTCATATTTGATTGTATAATAGTCATTATTTGTTCTCCAGTGTCACAGGCTCCCGACCATCACAGGCCGACACAAGGATCTCAAGTCAGTGTCTCCACGTACAGTCAGTCAACTACTGACAGGGAAATACGATGACGTCATTTCCGGGTACCAGATCATCGTCAATAGACCGATCCAGTCTGTCAATCAAAACTGGCGCATGCGTCAAATTTGGCCAATCAGCAGGCCGGGCGCGCTGTGTGGATTTGTCGGACTTATTTCCGGGGTCAAACGATGCCTCCGAAGCGATGTGCTTCGAATGATGCCATTTACACTCGCTATATTTATTACATATTGCTGCGATTTGATGTGTACCTTTAACAAACCATTACGGTCAAGACAACAAAATGGAGGCGGATCAAGAAACGCGATAGGCCTAACGATCAGTTAAATGTCTGCACCATCGTTCAGGAAACCTACGTCTGCCTGCTGATGAGAATTTGCACGAATTTCCACACTTTTGCACATGTGCAAAATCATTACCAATTGATGACAACAAAAAGCAGTTTAAGACTTTGCAAGTGTTATAAACACGGACAATTCTCGTAACTACAAAATTGTTTTTGCTTAACGTGTTTAGTCACTACTAGGCATTGAGTTGGTACGCCATAAAGCTCAAATGAGACATGCGAGAAAGCCGTGACACGATGTAAACAAATCTCCATTTCGGTTACGGTCAACCGAAATAGCAAAACTTGTTACATGAAAGAAAATGTGGCGGATATTGTCCCCTTCGCTCTTAGATATTCTTCAATTTGTCACACATTTTAGGATGTTTTAAGTTTCATAAGCACAATCTGAAGGCCTACAGTATCTTGTTAACAGAGCAAAATATTCGAGGAGTAATATTTTTTATTCAAACGGAAATATTGTCAGTGTCAGCAGTTGCCTATCATGCAATATCCAAGTATCAAACTTAATTCATATGAGTGCCTATAAAACCTTGCTTTAAATATTTCAGCTTTTTATAAAGAGTTGCATGGGACTTTGAATTGAATTACCTTCCTCCATGTTGATCGAATACGAAAACTATGTGAGAAGAATAGTGATCGACTTTCTGGAGTATTGGACGGAGTGAAATAAAGTGTATATCTTAATTAGGAGAACATTATTTGAAGTTTTGTTACCACATAAATTATTCACATATATTGGTACATTCTAGGAGTAATATTACAACTGTAATTTTGATTAATTCACTGGAAATGATAGCAAGGTATGTTTTAAGAATCTTGCTTTTTAGTAAACGTGGAAGGGTAATAAAATTAATAATAATCTAATCAATAATAAATAATTATTTGATTGATTGACATATCAGATTCTTATGATTTTAAGGCAGAACTAGGCAAACAAACACCATACATATCATGGCAGGACAATCACTTGGTATTAACTTAGTTTCTTGGCTCCTGCTTTTAGATGTTTTTTAAATACTACATTTACTAATAAGATAATTCTGAAAGTGATTGCTAGTATCATAACTCATTTAAGTTATTTCAACATCCAGAGAATTTGAAAAAGCAAAGGCTACGTTTTGGTCAACCCTGGTCAGGCATTATCCAGTCCTGGAACAGAATAACTTACAAAATCTCAGTTGACTTTTCATGTAACGGAATAAATATTGAAACATATATTTAACCCATATTTGATGTAATTCTTCTGATAAATCATCAGTTTTTTAGGAGGTTACTAATATTTGAAGACTGAGCCAAAGCTAGTGTTTATTAAGATGATGGATTTGGACAAATTGTTCAAGGTTTGTTGATGGTTATTTGGAAAATGAGTTTCATATTTAATTGCACACTGGTTTGTAGGAGGTGAACGCTTCAGGACATTTTCATGTCTGTTTTCCTAAACCTTTGTTATGACTTTGACCAAATTTTGAATCAACTTTACTATAATTCTTATGACACCAGTAAGTATCTCAGAAAAGGAAATAGATCAAAATCAGTGTTATGTCCTCTAGGGATATGGTCTCAGATCTAATAAAACAAAGATTATCATTGTTTAATTAAGAAGCAATAATGTCAATATGTAATTGTATTGACAAAAAGCTTTGAACTTAGGATATATTCTTTGCACCTTATTTACACTAGTAGTTAGCAGTTAAACATCTCTGATAAAAAAACAATAGATCTACATTTGTATTTTGTGTAACATTCTACTTCAATGCAAGTTAATTGTTCGGATAACTGTGGATCCTCTGTTCCAAGATTTTGCATCACATGTTTCCTATTTCTGGAAGACGGGTCAGCTAGTGTACAGGTCCAGAGTGTATCTTGGATCTTCTTTGTGTTCTGGTGCTGTGACATACCTGTACATAAACGCTGGCAGTTCATGAAGTCCAGTATTGTGGAAGTTTGTATGTAAATTAGGATTCAATAACAAAGTACATATAGAAAAATAAAATGGAAATGATGATTAAAAAAATTATTTTCTTATATTCAGTGTCATTTTATCATGGTGTACAGATTTTGAAGAGAGAAACTTTACTGAGAATTGCTGCAGATCAGCTGTTGAATATTTGCTTCTGGGTATATCCAGATACGTCCATGGAAACATACTGTTTACAAGCCCAATTACCTTTTCCAGATTTCCAAATAAGATCAAATAGGTTATGCTGTGATTGATTTGTTTACATTAATTATATACAGACAAATAAGGTGCATGAAGTAGTAGACAGGAAATATTTTCTGCTTTTTATTTACCATTCTCTTAATTCATTAAAAGATAGAAACCCATGTTTTCAGATTATTGAACTAAATTTGAACAACGCCAAAAAATAAGTAAAGGCGCCACGCGCAGTATACGTGTTGATAATCTATTTATAGATACCGAAACGATCTGCAACATGAACATGTGGTTGTGTTCACGAGTTTTATAAAATTATAAATACAAACAACAAAATTCAGTTACCCTTCCCCTGCTAATAGCTGTGACGGAGGTGAATTGCCAGATAGATTAATTGATTCGAAAGAAATTACGCTTCCAACAGTCTCAGCAGCTAGTCGAGACGATTTTTCATCGGGCATGTAACTCATTTTCACTCGCCAGTTGCAACCTGCCAGCTAGAATATATTTAAAATCACATACGTATAACTTGCCTCTTTAAATAACATTCCCAAACGACGGATACCAAAGTATCACAAGCAGAATTCATCAACAACGTTCGCAATCACGTAACGTTTCGCCGGCGCTGACGCCATTGTGATTTGCCAGTGGTTGTCCCCCCTAACGTCAAAAACGAAGTGGGCGGGGCTTATCGGCCGGGACTGGATCGGTCTATTACCTTTAACTTTTGTTAAACTGACCCGAACCTTGGCATTGAAACAGTTTTAGGCTGTGACGCACAGTTCATACCGACATGTTCCTCATCTGATGCAATCTTTCTTAAACCCAGATTACGCCATCTGCGGAGTATGGACCGGAAGTTGAACAGCGATTGCTACCCGTTCCTCTTCTACCCGGAAGTGTACTTACTGGATGGCGGTTACAAGGCTTTCTATGAACAACATCAGGTACGTTCACAGTTGTTGTTTCAGTAAAATAATGATACTCGACTCAAACTTTGGCTAAATATTAAACGAGCACAACTTGGCGAGGAGTAAACTGAGAAACGCCATATCTAGTTTTTTTTTATTTTATTATTGCATCACGCATTTCGCAAACGTTTGCTTTACAAGAGATCACACAAGTAAGGTTACTGACAAAGGTGCTTGTTTCAGCGACAGTGTCAACCAAACACCTACATTCCCATGCTGCACGAGGACTACGCCAGTCAACTACGTCACTTCCGGTCTAAGTCCAAGACCGCGAAAAACAGATACGTGCGCAGTCGGAGCTTAGAAACAGATGTTTTACCACTGAAGTTTTCACACTTATGAGGCTGACATCACTTAACGATCACGATGACATTGTTGATATTTATATATTGTTATTTATCTTTAACTTGTTGATTGTTTTCTGCATATAGTGCTGGCTATCTGTGGTATAAATCCGAAATAAAGTTGAAATATACGCACCCACTTCTTCTATCAATATGTTTTCAAGGTTTACAACTGACTTGCTTTCGCTTGTGTTTGTGACGGATGTGGCAGGACACGCTCACCTTGTGAGATTACTATTTGATAGTCTCTCAAAAACCGTGCAATAGGTGAATGAGTGAGTTTGGTTTTACGCCGCTTGTAGCAATATTCCAGCAATATCACGTCGGAGGACACCAGAAATGGGCTTCACACATTTTACCCATGTGGAGAATCGAACCCGGGCCTTCGGCGTGACGAGCGAACGCTTTAACCACTGGGCTACCCCACTCCTGTTTCCACATATACAGTATCGATCCGTGTGAAGCGATCCCGTGTATGTACACGTGTGTTTAGTGTGTGGGGCTAGATATCGATAGAGATCGTAGAGATCGATAATTGTTAACTAAGTATCGATCGATTATCGAGAAATATCGGAGAAGTAACTTTGATCAAAAATGTAAAAAAAAGTCAGAAAGGAATGACTCTACATGTATTTCACAAAACTGGTGCGTGGTGAGATGTTTAGACATGGGTTCCTGACAAAACAGATTCCTGAACATCATTTAGAAGCACCCAATGACTGAAAACCTAAGCTTGTGTATTGTGACTGACTGACTGAGTTTGGTTTTACGCCGCTTGTAGCAATATTCCTGCAACATCACGGCGGGGGACACCAGAAATGGGCTTCACTCATTGTACCCATGTGGGGATTCGAACCCGGGTCTTTGGCGTGACGAGCCAACGCCTTGACCATTAGGCTACCCCACCGCCCTTATGTATTGTGAGTAAATTAAAACTTTATTCTATCACAAAGGTTTATGTACTGTACAATATTATCGACGACGCTATTTTAATATTATTTCTTATCTACGATTAATAATATATGATAATATATTGAGTCAAACTAGAAACTTTACAATCATATATTAAACAATATATAAAAGAAAGAACAAGAATGTGGTATAGAGATTATCATTTATTATATGTTACGGTTGATAGGATGAACTGAGAATAATCACAATGCCAAAAATCGGTTCCGTGTGGTTACAGAATTTATCAATAAAAGGCGTAAATAGAGAGTCAACTCACAAGAAATTAAATCTGATGTTGCAAACGTTCTGTAGCTTGTATGGCCACCCCGTGCGTTCACAATTGCTAAGCAACGCCTCCAGTGTCGGCCCGGGAAAGCGACATTTCAATGTTTAGTATACCCGGTAAAGCCTCACACCAGGTTCTGTCGGTTATAACCGGGAAAGCGTCAACATGCCAAGCCACGCCTCCTCATGGACGGTCCGATGCGTGTAAATACATTATTGGGGAGTCGGCGCCATTGTTCCTGCAAAGCAGCTGCAAGATCGTGCACATTTTGGGGTTGGTTCCTGAGAGGGTTCACTCTCACTTACCCCCAAAGGTCTTGTTAAGACAACATTGCACTATGTCTAGGTGAGAGATGAGAGCCAGGTAATTAGTAACATATCAATGTACATGTATCTCACTCTAACACACATTTCACTAAACTCACTAATGTCCATTTCTGTTCAGCAGATATTGTTTTTAATGCATGATATATTTCAACTGAACTTATTTGAGTCTGATTTCATCATAAGTAGCACATTCACGAAAAATGATATTCGTATCGTATACCTCGATCACAAAAAGGACAGTTTCTCATGCATTTACCATATTTTGTTCACATATGTTCATTATTTCTGGGGGTGGTGGCGTAGCCTAGTGGTTAAAGCCTTCGCCCGAAGACACGGGTTTGATTCCCCACGTGGGTACAATGTGTGAAGCCCATTTCTTGTGTCTTGCTGGAATATTGCTAAAACTAAACTCTCTCATGCAACGGGAAAAGTCCATCTCTTGACTAAACAGCCTCGAAGCTTTAATTCTCCAAATCAATAAAGACACTTTTCTGTTTCATAGACAGATTGCGTCTGTTTTGACAACCAAACAAAACCATTAGAAAGAGTACAGATCTAATATACTCATGGAAACGAATCAGGGAACACTTGAAAGTACAAGTGTTCCTTTATTCTTTTTCCAGGTTCCTTCACAAGGTATATATTGCACTGTGAGTGAAATTCGGAAATAAAAATATGTTTAAGCCACATAAACACAAATAAAGACAAAACAAAAACATATATGGCGTTGAAGTAGCTTTTAGTTATTTGTTTTGTTTTAATCATTCATAATTCATGTATCGGGTGGTTCTGTGCTTTATATACGCCAAAAGTCGTTCAGAAATGTTGAAGGGAGTTAAGACATACATTATTGTCTGCCTGACTGGGATGACAATGGATAACAGGTATTTAGCTGATGCCAATTTGTATATCATTGTGGACACAAATATTGCTGAAGTTCCAATACATGATGTACTATCCAAGCAAATGTAACACATTATGTAATTGGCAACGAATCCTTGTTAGAATCTGAACATGAATTTTATGGTGTACCATCTATGAAACAAAACCTTTTTCTCATGTTTCAATTTAATGTTCAAACAACGCAGTAATTATCTTAAAGTGGTGTTATTACTACTGAACGACTTGTACTCTGACCCAGTCCAGAGCTACTTTTAACACGCATTGTTCCATAGGTCTTCCCACTGTCCGATCCAACACCCACCACTGTCTTCCTATACAAACAATGTAACGAGCTGTCCTATTGTTCCACTGTGTGTGCCTAATTTCTGCCCTCAATTATCGGTATATTTGATGCTTTACCTGGATCATCACTCGGGGGATAATTTTCCCTCATCCCCGTATAGAAACGCTGCACACACAAGCCATCGCCGTTCCTCCCCAAGCTGGAGCGCTGGTCACTCACAAGGTGCTAGCTGGACTATAATTAGTCGGGATTTGTTGTTTCAGAGTTTCAGTCTCTTTGACTCATTATACCGTCATTAGACTGAAGTGTTAACGATAGTATGCAGTATTTGTTAGTTAGTTTGTGTATGTAATCAGGTCATTGATGGTGTGTAGGTATATATACAGTTTGGGAAACAGCAGAGGGCATCATTATCTAGCTACTGTTGTATAAGACACAGGGCAGTCACAACAAGAAACCTTACACTGCCTAAAACAGGAAGACATAGACACTACGGGTAAGGATTCAGCTTACAAGACGTAACAATCAGAATCATGTTAACTTCCATCAATACATCAAACAGGATTCAGAGGAAAATCATATGTTATTAGCTGTAGTCCATTGTTTATCTTAATTCACCAATAATGCATTTGACTCAACTTTATAACAATGTCAACATTCTTTTCAGTTTAAAATGACTCCTTCTCAAACGTCCCAGATGAACGCGCTTCCCTTGAGAGTCCCGATCCAGTGACATTGGGTCTTCTTTCTATTCCTGAAGATGCTGGCGATTTGCCTCGCAGCCTCACTTTCGATGATGACGACGACTCACGTGACAGTGGTTTCGAATCTCACGAGAGTGACACAGAGGTAAAAGTCCCCACTGTGTTGCTATATACACAGACCCATCATCATGTCTATAGTGTTTGAGTAATACACAAGTGATATTCACAGATATCTCTACCAAGAACTAAACAGATCATGCACAATGCATTATCATTGTATCAAATGGCTGGATTGTTTGGAGGCCGCCTTATAATGTCGAGTTAAACAACATACAAAACACAAGTTCCGATTCCAATATATCAAGTATGAGAATATTTCCCATCTCCATCTTCAGGGATCCCCACTCAGCTGTTTTCTGTCGAGCAGAACAATCATTGACTTCAGTTCCGTAAGAAAATCTCTATTCTCACCAAAACGGCCACGTGATGAGGACGGAAGTACTGCGGTAAAGAGATCCACATATGCTGACGTCATGGAGGATGGTGCGAAGCTATATATTTCGGAATTCCCCGAATCCATGAAATCAGCTGTGGATAAAATGGAGGCGGAAATCAATCTGATTGGCGATGGCTCAAAGGTAATAATCAATGTATCAATGTATGCATGGAAATATTCACAAAGAACTCAAGTTTTGCTGAAATGGTCCACGGCATCTGACGCTCATTTATTTTGGTTTGTCATATTTGATTGTATAATGGAGTCATTATTTGTTATCCAGTGTCACAGGCTCCCGACCATCACAGGCCGACACAAGGATCTCAAGTCAGTGTCTCCACGCACAGTCAGTCAACTACTGACAGGGAAATACGATGACGTCATTTCCGGGTACCAGATCATCGACTGTCGCTACCCATATGAATATGAGGGTGGTCATATAGAGGTAAATTATAAGTTATTTGTTGATGTATGAGACTGTAATGATGTAATATCTGTAAGATCATAAATATTCCTAATAACGTCAAGTAGACATTCTATGCATTTTATCATCCCCAAGATCAATGTTCTTACAGGGTGCCATCAATCTCCACAACGAGGCTCAAATCTCGGAGTTAGTCACCAGCCTACGAGGGAGGGAGTCGACTCAACGGAACATCCTGGTTTTCCACTGTGAATTCTCCTCAGAGAGAGCGCCCAAACTGTAAGTTGCCCTTGTGTACCTGGTTTGATCTGTCTCTGTTCTCTCACCTTTAACTTTGTTCAACTGACCCGAAAACTTGGCATTGAAACAGTTTTACGCTGTAATGCACATTTCATATCGACATGTTCCTCATCCGATGCAATCTTTCTTAAACCCAGATTACGCCATCTGCGGAGTATGGACCGGAAGTTGAACAGCGACCGCTACCCGTTCCTCTTCTTCCCGGAAGTGTACCTGCTGCATGGCGGTTACAAGGCGTTCTTTGAAAAACATCAGGTGCGTTCACATTTTACAAAGCTTCGTAGTTACTGACTCACACTTTAGCTTAATCAGAAACGAGCGCACTGAAACGTGTTTAAAGAAGTCAACTCATAAACACGTTATCTCCAGTTTTTTTTTATTATCAGGTATTTTGCAAACCTGTACTTAACGTTAGGGTATTCAGAGACAAAATTCCTTATTGTTATATCAGTAAAGTTTATTTCACCTGAATTCCAAGAGGTTACAGAAGCGCCGTTACTGACAAAAACGCTTGTTCTTCTTTCAGCGACAGTGTCAACCAAACACTTACATTCCCATGCTGCACGAGGACTACGCCAGTCAACTACGTCACTTCCGGTCTAAGTCAAAATCGAACAAGACCGCGAAAAACAGATACCTGCGTAGTCGGAGCTTAGAAATAGATGTTTCACCACTTAGGTTTTCACTGTAGTAATATTGACATCATTTAGAGTTTACTTTTGACCTTGTTGATATTTATACATTGTTCTGTATCTTAATTTGTTGATTGTTTTCTGCATTTAGTGCTGGTTGTCTATGTTGCCTCAAGCCGAAATAAAGGTTTAAATATACGCACACATTTCCCCTATTAATATGTTCTTAAAGTATGCAACTGATTTGCCTTTGCGTGTGTTTGTGAGCATGTTCACCTTGCGATCACCTGATGAAAAAATTGTATGCGTCTAATAAACCGGAACAATAGCCGGGTTCGATCTCAGAAGAATTGGTATAATAAAAATACCCACTTCAAACGTATTCGCTGATATAGCGGTCGAATGAATACAAGGATTATCAGAAGCAAAACAGTGTATAGTGATGCTGTCCTTGTGGAGAAATGATTGACAAAGTACGTCACCACAGCTATGTTGTTACTTTCTTTAATTATTACATGTGGCCGTGAAGATATGTGTCAGAACTTTCAGCAAATCGTAAGACCGACGGGATCGAGTGGCCAGACCCGGCGAGTCGGTGATCCACGTCATGGTATTCCAACCGCGAAAACCGATGGTGATGATGCCACGTCGTCATGTGTATCAGATAGTGCGTCTACCACATTTGAGTGTTTCCACCTGACGTTCCTGTCGGTTGCGTTGAGGGAGAATGAGTATATATATATCGTATATAACGGGATACCAAACAAACTTAATAATCTGCCTTTCTTTTCAATGCGTATGATCAATTTCGCCAATTCCTTTGTCTGTCTTTCTGTACAATGCTTTGAACAGTTTGGACAAAAAAATCATTTGTCGTATTACTTCGTTTTATTTCGTTATGTCTGAAACAAAACCCTTTTCAAGAACAAAGAAAAATATCTATATTCATATCGATTCAGTTGGGTTGTCAATATGCACACTTCAGCCAGTTACATCGGCGTAACATCATAGCTTTGAAGACGTAACAGAACAATGCACAAATTCATATAATGCAGAAATTATTCACAATTTGAATGTAAATCAGATGTATTCACTGGCATACTTCTAATAATATTTGTTCTGATTCAAGCACCATATCAGCGTTTGTTCAGTACCAGTGCATTCTCTGTTACATCCACCACGCCCATTGTCTTGCTGTTATGATAGATAATGTATGGATATAAAATTCATCTCCACTGCACATTACGTAAGCTTGGCTGGATCATAAGGACAATGGTGTCATTCCCATGTCTCATACTCTGTCATCAAGTGAATGAAAACAAGGAAGCGGGTATTTTCACTCTCACGTGTATCCCTTCTAAATGCCATTCAAAGAGTTTATATGTCGTATTTGGAATTATGAAACGAGCCTGGAACTCACCCTGTTATTAATTACTGTAACCCCGAGATCCTCTGTGGGATATTGTGTCCTGGATCTCATGCAGGTGCAAATCGTAAGAACTATCAGCTTGACACATGACAACAGTTAAAATCTATAACAGACCTTAGAGTTGCATTTTTCGTGATATTACTAGTAGTATATGACGTTATTTTAACATTTGCTGGAAAAACTGTGTTTCAGAGCGTGTTCTTGCAGTGTTGACAGGTACGATGTGTACGCCTTCACCCTGCGAGAGTGTGACCAGTTTCAAGGTGGCTACATTTGGGAATTTCCTACTTGTTAAACCACATACAGAACTAAAATCATTCAACTGTCAAATACGATCGAGAAATATCAACAAATTCTATTCAATCACACAGTTGTAGGTTCACAATCAAAAGAGGCAATGCAGTGGATCAGGATGGTGGAAGCAGTATTCATTATCAGGGTCAGTAATTAATGTAGGTGCCGCCATTGAATTACAGAATTTTGTCTTCGTTCTTAATTAATAAATAATGATGGAAGCTGCCAAATATTCGGTTTTTCGTATCCAATACGTATATAGCAGTAGATGAGACTGAAATCAGGCCTCAAAGAGCACTCATATCGCCCTGTGCTGCTCTTGCATATGCATAGTCCGTCTGAAGTCTCATTACGAAACCTCCGAACGATCAAGTCTGCCATGTTAGCCAACATCCAAGGACGGTAACTCACTGCCTACCTATTGCAGCACTCGCTAGACTCACACCAACATCGACTGCCACGTAGGTGACTGATCGAGTGAGGCTGGCCCTGTAGACATGGTTAAAACTCACTGCCTATCTTCCTGTTGATTGCATTGTTGTGATTTTATGCATCTTCGAACAGTATTTAATTTAACTCCCAAAGAAGCGCAGGTCATACACGTTTTACGCTTTTAAGAATCACACTAGCAGTTGTATAGGAGCGCCGTAGGCAAGGGTTTAGAGTCGACTTAATATTCTTATCTACCGTACCTACATATCATAGGTCTTTAGAAAGCTAATTCTATATAGATTATGATATGGTGTAGATTATGACAAAAGTGTCCCCATTTAGGAGGAATCGAGGTCACGCAAGATCTGACTCTGTTTTGTTTCTGTTTTGTATGGTGCGCAGAGACCAAGGATCAAAATCCAAGTGAATCTGGGTTTCACACCACGACCAGTGTATTCTGGCTGACTGAAAGTCGTAGTAGGGGCTGAAATGCTTGCCACAACACATCAGACATTTAGAATGAGAAATATCAGAATTGACCTCTCATGTCACAGAATATTTTTCAGATGTTCACCGCAGGCAGTCCTAGTGAGTAAGTGAGTGAGTGAATAAGGTTTTACGCCGCTATTAACAATATTCCAACAATATCACGGCGGGGGACACCAGAAATGGGCTTCATCAGGCAACCCTAGGAATCATCCATGAGCATGCGCAGATCCGAAAGTGGCAAGCTTCCTGCTGGGGGAAAAATATATCATTTTGTAGTTTCCCTACTTCTGTGCCTGATGGCAACCCTCTCTACAACATCACCTACTTATACTATGCCATGACTGCTTGGTATTTCAGTGGGGCTGGTGGGCAGTCTGGAGAGAAATGTTAGATTGACATCAGCAAGCACAGCACGGCCGTCACTGGTTTCATGAATGTATTAATATTCTGTACATACTTAAGTATATGAAATTCATGTACTGTTAATTGATTCGATGAATGATTGTTGAGTATTAAGCTGTGCAGTCCTCCGATTATTTCTGGTAGCTACGTAATCAGATTTGTGAAATTAGATTATATGGAGCAATGAGGCTATGAGTTTATGTATTAATGGAAATCTATCTGACCTTGTTGTGAGAACACCGCCATGAGCCAGTGCGAGATGAGAGGCTCCTCTTGCCCTTTGTGTGGCGATTCTGGAAACTGGGCCAGACCAAGGAACCACAACAGGTGAGTGAGTGAGTGAGTGAGTGAGTGAGTGAGTGAGTGTGTGCTGGTAACGTCCGGAATGGTCAATATGGAAATGTCCAGCCAGACCAGAGGCTGTAAACATACTCTATCCAAAGCGTCTCTTCCCTTGTATTTCTGCACTGATGGCTTTTCAACACGTACATAAAACTTCTCGTGATGACCACGATGGAAAATATGAGTTTTTTTCTGACTCGTATGATCCTTTGACCATAAAAACGACAAAATGATTGGAATCCATCTTGATGTTATGATGATAATTGCTCATTACAAACACACACGCTGATTTTCATACAAAACCATGTCTGTACAAGTATGGCCCTGGAATGTTTAATGTTGAATTTATTGGTGAATGTGAACATTACACGATTTAAGGTCAATACTGAGTGTAACCTCCATGTGACTGTATGACAGCCAGCACTCTCCTCCTCATACCCCCTGTCAGCCTTCTGATCCTCTGAATGAGCAGTCTACGCCATTCCTCGTGTAAAGCAGCTTCCAATTGGGCCAGGTTCTGTACAGGAAGGTCCCATTGTTGCACACGACGACCAATCATGTCCAAGATATGCTGCAAAGGGTTAAGATCGGATCCACTCGATCATACGTGTTTGCGATAGAAAAACTCACATATCTATCTTCAAAGGTGCGGGAAATTAGTGAATAAAGAAGGCAAAACATCATCTGAACTTTACTGAGGAAACAGTATTTGGAATGGTGGACTTCCTAGATAACATCTATGTAAAACCTGCAGATAGGACTTTTAGGCAAGAAGTTCGCATCACCGTGGCCACCTTCTGTGTTTGATTTCTTGCTGATATATGTGTGTTTTTATAGATACTAAACTGAATATCTCGCATACGATATACTGAAGTATACGGTATATCGATGATATCGTATTGTTCAACAAATGTTAAAAAAATCCTAGTTTATAATAAGGCTAACAGTATTAACATTTGGATTTGCACTCTTGCTGAAAAAATGAAACACCAGCCAACCGCGCATTCAGAGAGATTCAGTTCGTCGGTCAATTCATGGCATATGAGATGATGCATACCGACAAATGTTACATCATGGGGCTGGGAAGCATGACCGTGACCATGACCGTCCTGGTTCGGTCCGTCCGGCAAAGTCTGAATGAGGACGTAACACAAGTTTAGTCATCCAGTACTTGGCGAGATGTGTCAGGTGTTGGGTAATATTGTGACCTTGCATTAGCATACTGAGAGAGTGAGTGAGTGAGTTTGGTTGTACGACACTTTTAGCAATATTACAGCAATATCACGGCGGGGGACACCAGACAATGGGTTTCACATTACCCACGAGGGGAATTGAACCAGGGTCTTCGGCGTGACGGGCGAACGCTTCATATGACCACTAGGCTACCCCACCCCTCCGTATGCTGAGGGTCACCTCACCACACAATATTGTTCTCCTAGAAGATGACACAGTTGCCAAGACTCATAATATTTTACATCCATTGTAGCAAATGGCGAATCTCAGGGATCTTGAAGCGTGTTCTAAAGAAGGACCACATATTCCAAAGTCGTTGATCAGCACTGAAGCATTGAAAACCATCTTCTTTTGGACATTTTGAAATCCTTTAATTTTGAATGACTTTATACAGTCATGGAAATATTGAGAATATTATATGTATATTACTATCATACTGAGTCGTCATCACCATGTCTTCTTCAATATTCCGCCATGACACGCTTTGTAAAAAACCCATTAAATTCAGGTGTCTGGCTCAAAATACCTGGAAAGTCAGTGAGTATTTCTTCAAAATTTCGATTTTTGTCTCGTTACTTCGATCATTTATACGAAATTTCGATATTTTCTCGTTATTTCAAAACTTTCATAGAACTCGATATGTCGATTTCTTCACGTTACTTCGATTTTCCTCGTAATTTTGACTTTTTTAAAAATGTCGAGTGTTTAAAAATATGAAAATAATAGTAATGCAAGAAAAAAAAAATGTTGAAAAATAACCAACTAAATCTTGATACGAGAAATTTCTATTCGAAAAAAACTATACATGCTGCCAGTGCGGAACCATGAGTACGTTTGCAATAGTTGTGCCCACCTTGTCATTTCCCAACTTACCTTCTAGTCCTACCTCACATCTAACGTCTAACATCACTATAGGTTGAACGTGGCGTAATGTATAATCATGAGATATCGTATTCATGATCTCTTGATGACAAAATAAATAACGAAACTGAATTTTAAACATCCAACGTCCGACGTGTGACACCGTCAGACACTTGTTCGGTTGAAGCCAACCCATGCAAGGCTCAAGGGTCACTGAACTGGAAACTATTCATTCGGGAACTACTTTTTGTTGAACATTCATGACATTTGAACGTTTCATCTGCATATTGTATTGTTAGCAACATTTACATTAACAAGAAGGCAATATGAAAATATATGTAATTTGGATGACAATAGGAACATATGTGTGATACATAAAGTCGCATGTTTATTGTGTATTATATGCAAACCAGCTGTGCTGACGGTCAGTCAAATCAGTCTTGAACCAGACATCGTCCATGGCAAAGGTATCCGTCTCTGCCGCTGACTATGCCGTCATCTGTGGACTGTTGTCCCTGTCTGTGGGGATAGGACTGTATTACGCCATCAGGGGGAGGAGGAAGAATACCCGGGAGGAGTACCTGTTGGGGGGACGGCGTCTCAGCGTCATCCCCGTGACGCTGTCGTTGATTGTGACGTACGTGTCATCGACGTCTTTGTGGGAATACCAGCTGAAAGCTTCTCCTCTGGGTACCCGATTGTGTATCTAGGTCTGGGCTGTGCTATTGGGATGTGCATCTCAATGTACACAGTGGTCCCATTGATGCATTCGCTGCGCTTGTCCAGCTTGTATGAGGTATAACCGATCACTATAATATTCTGAGAACATTTCCAGATTTGACAGGGCGGTGGGGTAGCCTAGTGGTTAAGCGATCGCTCGTCACGCCGAAGACCCGGGTTCGATTCTCCACATGGGTACAATGCGTGAAGCCCATTTCTGGTGTCCCCCGCCGTGATATTGCTGGAATATTGCTAACAGCGGCGTAAAACCATACTCACTCCAGATTTGACGCATCAGCGACAAAACGTATGTCCAATCCACTTTGGACATGACCCATATATTCCCGTGTCTTTTAGAGTGAACAGTTAAGTAACCTATGCATTTGTTTATGACGGGTGCCTCCGGTGGGGCAGGATACGCTCACCTTTCGCGAGCACTGTCATTGTTTGACAGTGACTTATATCACATGTTCATGATAGAGTCAGTAACGTACAATTGACTCTTTTGGCAGAGATTTCTTATGGATGTGGAAAGTGCTTTGCAGCTCACATTTATGAATCTGTTTGGAAGGTCCCCTCCGAAATGACTGGAATAATGTTCATACATGGTTAAGTTATATCCATCAAATTGAAAAAACACTATTATGATAAAAAGTATATTGAGACGTTTTCGGATTCAACATGATCAGCAAACTATTGGATCACTTGATTGTCTGGTCCGGACGCGCAGTCTGATCCAGGTTTAGGTCTCTCGTGTGTTTCTGGAGTATTGCTGGGTGTAGCAACACACCCCCGCATACCGTGTGTGTGATCGGCGCTACCGGTGATGCAAGACACCTTTACGCTTTTCCCGAACACCTGGTGTTGGGTTTCTGCGATCCGTTCTGATCACGTTCACCGTTCTGTAGACGTTTACTGCCCTGCGGATTCTCTTTCAGCAGATAATCATTATTTGGTATTTTCAAACGTTGCGTTTTTTATATACTCGGGTATAAAACAATAGTTTACGGACATTGTCTCTCATGAAATAGAATGCTGAAAGAACTGTTGTAAAATAGATTATGTCTATCCGGTAACCGCTCACTCCTGGCAGAGATGGAGACAGCTCAACTTGTAACTTTTGCTTCTTTGTCATTTCAGTATTTTCACCTGCGGTTCGGATCGGTGGTGCTGAGACGCTGTATCTGTGTGGTGGGGATGTGGCAGAACGTGAGTAATTGTTGAAGGTGGATTATTGAAATATATACATGTGTGTATGTGTGTGTGTGAGAGAGAGAGAGAGAGAGAGAGAGTTGACTGAGTATGAGTACCACACACATATACACAGAGGACTCTCTATCTTTCTCCATCTCTTTCTCTCTGTCTCTCTCTCTCTCACTGTCTGTGTCATTGTGTGTACCATGTTTACGGATAATCATTATGTTTTTCTAAATAGCATCTTTGACAAAATTGCATGAAATAACAGACCGACATAGTGAATGGTGCACTCTTTCTGGAAACTTGTGAGTCTATTGTGCCCTTTGTTATTGCGGTGGTAATTGTGTATCAGAAACGTGTCTTCTTCACCGATATATTCATTGGAAGGTTTGATTTAAAACAAAAATATAATATATTTATCCTTTCAGATCCTCTACGCAGCTGTGGTTTTGTTACCACCTGCAGTTTCAATAAAAACAGGTAAACTTACAATATAAAAATCAGACCACCTTCCGGGATTTATGTATCGGTTACTAAAGTCCATACACGCGATGTGAATGTTGTTAAGAATATGGAAGACAATGTACAACTTTGCTGAAATTTATATGACACAAAGTTCATGTTGTCACCTGGTGTCATTTCAGTGATCCATTCAAACACTTCACTGTTATTCTTCTTTAACATCTAATGGAATGTGTTTCGCTGGATAATCGAGAGTTTTTCTCTTTCGTTGATGTTGAATAATTTAAATCTTTTACAATGGAATATCAAATATAAAAATAAATAAACGTTTGTGTCTTTACAGTTGCTGATCTTCCATGGTGGGTGTCGGTGTTGCTAGTAGGGGCCATTGCAACGCTGTATACGGCCATTGTGAGTTGATTAACATACATAATCACTGATCGTATAAAACATAACACAGAGTGATGTTATTCCCTGTTCTGTAGATCATTGCTGTATGTCTATGTTCTATATTCACACAGGGTGGACTAAGGGGCGTGGTCTCTGTGGACGTGTTTCAGGCCCTCGTCATGGTTGTTGGCTTATATGCAACATTGTTTAAGGTAGTATATCATCCTGTACAGTGTCCACGAACACCTGGTGTAAATTTTCAGTGATATTCTTACCGTTACCTTCTTATAGTTCTTACCTTGCAATTTTAGGCCCAACGAAATCCGGGTCCTCGGATTATCGAAACTGGTTATGCCTGACGTTGGCGTTGTATGAAATGTAGGCTACAGTAGGTATAGCCAAAATATACACATCTAAACTATACCTGCACTTGGCACAATCTCCAACGTATATTTTACCTGATTCAAGGGGCGGTGTATGGTGGCTGATTAGGGTCATCGCTTTCTCGCCTTAAAATTCGGAGGCGAGAAAGCGATATCACGAGACGAGAAAGCGAAAACACGAGACGAGAAAGCGATATCACGAGACGAGAAAGCGATAACGCGAGACGAGAAAGCGATAGCACGAGCGAGAATGCGATGGCCCTAATCAGCCACCATAGCGGTGGGGTAGCCTAATGGTTACGCCAAAGACCCAGGTTCGATTCCCAACATGGGTATAATGTGTGAAGCCAACTTTTGATATTCCCCACTGGAATATTGCTGTGTCTGTTATGTACACATATTTTTCTGTATGCGTGTATTCAACGTATTTGGTATAATAAAAAAAATTATTTTTAAATAAATGTAAAAAAACCATAGTGTCTCATGCTGACCTTCTGGGATTACGCACTTAGAAGTCGAACGAGGTCTGATGGTCAGGCTCGTTGGGTAGACCGAAGTTCATGATGTCAGTCACTGCATTGTCTGGTTCAGATTCCTTCAGCTGGAAAATTGCTGAGTGCGGCCTTGAACAAATAAACCCCAAAATAAATAAACAAACAAACCCTTAAATAACCAGAGATATATTTTATTGAGGTAAATTCTTTCATTAATCCCGGTGTATGTTTGTTTCAGGGAGTGTATGCCGTCGGTGGGGCCAGAATGACCTGGGATCTAGCTGTCAAGGGAGGGCGTGTCCCACCTATTGAGTAAGACCTCTCAGGTTACATGGACATTCGGAAAAGGAGTGAGTGAGTTTAGTTTTACGCCGCACTCACCAATATTCCAGCTATATGGCGGCGGTCGGTAAATAATCGAGTCTGCACCAGAAAATCCAGTGATCAACAGCATGAGCATCGATCTGCGCAATTGGGAACCGATGACATGTTTCTACCAAGTTAGCGAGCCTGACCACCCGATCCCGTTAGTCGCCTTTTACGACAAGCATAGTCGCCTTTTATGACAAGAATGGGTTGCTGAAGACATATTCTACCCCGGATCTTCACGGGTCTTCGGAAAAGGAGATTTGGGGTGAACGTTGGACAGCATAAAGACCTTCCCCTGAACTCATCCACTGCTGTTTTTTCTTTCAAAATATCAATAAAGAAGGCAGGCTTGGAAATGTGTACGCTCCTTCATATCCCCTTGTTCTCTCAGTTTCAGTGTGGATCCGCGGGTACGTCACTCGTTCTGGGCGCTGGTGGTGGGAGGGGGCCTCCAGTTCATAGCGTATACATTCGACCAGTCAGCTGTACAGAGAATGGGAGCTCTACCTAGCGTCAGACAAGCCAAACTGTGAGTTACTAAGGCATAAACGGTATTAGTCATGATAAATGTGATACGTGGCTTTGACGTCTGTGACGCGCATTTCGATGTGTAGAGCTGCGTCCCTTAGCAGTGTCAGAAACCATTGTTTCTGGGTTCGAATCCCGTATCGGTCTGATTGCATTTCTAGGTTTGTTAGAACCTTTGTTCTGTGGGTTGCGAAGTGTAAATGTCTACAAATGTCAATACGTACACATATTTGTTCAAAGGCAGTTAGATTCAGGAATAGATCTCTGTTCCCACACATCTGTATCTGCTGATTTGGGAGTGGAGAGATGTGACTATGTCAGCAGTTGCTGATGCTGGCACTCCTTCTTCAGTTGATATTAGAGACCTGTGTGTTGCGATACATAGTCTCCTTAACTGTTACAGTTCCTACGCCTTTATGGGAATCGCGGTGGCTACGTACATTGTGAGCGTCACTTTCCTTGGACTCGTGGCCTACAGCTTCTATACAGTTCAAGGATGCGACCCGTTCAAGGCAGGGTACCTCCAGAACAGAAACCAGGTGATCCTGCGTTGACATGTGGTTTTGTTGAAGCTATGTCGTGTGTTCGAATAAGTATGTGAGCTGTGTTTAAATCCGCTTTTAGGAGTATTCCAGTTATACACCGCTTAGTATGGGTGTAGAGCCAAACGTGATGCAGGTTTCAGACTCATTGCAGAAACACGGGTATGGTGATCACAAACCTGGGTGGCTTTCCACAAAGCTCTAAGATTGTCGTAATCTGTGTTACAGTATCGTCGTAGAGCTAAGATCGTTTTGTTGAAAAGAGCCCAGAAAACATTATTGGGGCGTATCCAAACCCGGTATCCGAAATACAGGTTTCTGTGTGCCCAAAGAGACTCACCACTGCATAGCTAATTGCGGCGCCTTAGTTGATTGGACAACACGTGTCCCTTCCAGCAGGCGTATACAATGTATTTCTATATTACAGGGGGCGGTGGGGTAGCCTAGTGGTTAAAGCGTTGGCTCGTCACGCTGAAGACCCGGGTTCGAATCCCCACATGGGTACAATGTGTGAAGCCCATTTCTGGTGTCCCCCGCCGTGATGTTGCTGGAATATTGCTAAAAGCGGCGTAAAACCAAACTCAGCCAGTCTATATTACAGCTCTATTTCTCCGTTTCCAAAGAATTACATTCCAGACCAACATGTCTACGTCGCCGGCCATTATGTCAACATGTTTACATGTCTCTGTTTCCCGGAGTTTACAATCTTCACCTACGTGCATACATCGCTTCATGATCGACGCCCTGTTGTGGAGTTGGGGTTATGAAGAATTCGAAACGTGATAATCGAAAACTAATCTTTACCATTCCGTTGATATATCCCAGTTGTAAAACTGCTTATGTCATGATACTGCAAAGCTTTAAACTTTCCATCATTTATATTTCAGCTCGTCCCATATTTTATGATGGAAATGTTCCAAGGATTCCCGGGCATGCCGGGTCTTTTCTTAGCAACAATATTCAGTACTGCACTCAGGTAATTATTGGAATATTTTGGAATTCATTAAAATCATACTTAATTAATTCCCCTTTGAATTTATTTCATCACCACTTTCAAGGTGATGAAACTCCTCAACTAACGGGGTCAGACTCGCTGACACATGTTATTGTATCCCAATTGCGTAGATCAGTGCCCCACCGGGTTAACGGAAATTTACCATCTTATCCTACCACTACCAGCTACCCATCCAGATGTGTTCAATGGGGGCAAAGTCAGGACTGAGCGTTGGCAATAGCATGGGCTGGATTCTTTGCTCTTGGATTAGTCGGGTCGCAATTCCACCGCGATGTGCAGGTGTATTATTATCATGAAGGATGAAACGTTGCTAAACACGTACAAATGGCACCACGAGTGGTGTGATAATGTTGTCCCGATTGTATTGACCTTAGACTCTGCTAAGGACAATAAGGAAGGCCGTTCCACACGTCATTATGATACCACCCACTCTCACAGGCCTTCGTGTCTTTGCGAGGATTTAATATTTTTAAAAAATATATAAAATTTGAGATGACCCCCCGACTCAAAATGCTTCACAGTACAATAAAATCATGACAAGGCCGGACACTCCGGTGTACCCCCACCCGCCTGCTTTGCCGATCGCTACGCTAGCATCGCATGCAATCGTTTAAAACTTAATGTAAACTTAATCATGGATGATTGGCCTATCGAGCACCACTCATGACACCTACCAATTCTTTATTGTTATTTCTGCACGTCGATTGAAACCCGATTTTGACTCTCAACTAAACGAACTTGTCACAAATGGATGACGATATGTCCGCACAAAACGGGGGAATTTTTACTTTCATCGACTGCTTGACTTGGAAATGTAAAATTTTCCCCAGCAATGGCTACTCAAAAGAAAGCATCAGTTGTAAATGTCTCCTTAACAAACATCACCAGTTGAGTCTTGCAACCGGTCACTTATCTCAGTGCCAGTTTCTCATTGAGACCATGTTTCTGATGTATTTGTTCGGGAGTTGTTTCCCTTGGGGATCCACAGCGGCGTCGATCATGTTGTATGTTTGTTGGTGCCCGGCCCCCGATATGCTGATGACAGAGTTGACATAATCTTAGTGTGTGATGTCTGTCTCCCTGTTGTCTAATGTTACAACTCTTATGAACACTGTGTTCACTTCCATGGATATCTTTACAAGTTCTGTGTCATCCATCATCAACGGCCTCGCCGCCAACACCATCGAGGATCTGCTACGGCCTGTGTTTGACCGGTACAACACTACCGAGTACAGGAAAATCTTAACTGCTAAGATTTCGGGTAAGATTTAGATAGTAAGGATTCTACGAAGAAATGGTAGATTGGAGAAAAACGCATTGTGTTCAGGGGCGGATACAGCTTTTTGAGAAAGGGGGGTGCACAGGGGCTTGTAACGGTAAAAACTGCCATCAAGGTATACACTGTCACTGACGGGGTCTTAGTACTATATACAAGGATCCTTTTATGTAGTACTAAGACCCCGTCAGTGACAGTATATACCTTGATGGCAGTTTTAAGCGTATTATATTACCTACGAGGGGTAAATTATCGGGGTTCATGTTTTTCATACTAGAGCAAAATATCACTTTGTCATGGTGACGTGACGTCATGAACAATGCTATGACGTCACGTTTCTTCTGTGACGTTGCATTCTACATGCGGCGACGACGGGTAGCCAGCCTATGTTTGAAAGTAGATTTGGGTTTATTTTCCTCGATTTGACGACTTCGGTAATAAATGGAATATTATATTCATTCCCATATCATACTATGTTTACGACACTCGTGCCTAAATATCATTATTACCCACGTGGTCAACGTATGGGTAGTTGCATACCATTCTCGTATGTCACACGAGTGTCGTATCGCGTTGACCTGTGTCGTAACGACTTGACCTGAGATTCTAACGATTTGATTGGATAACCGATGACCTCTCAATTAGGTCACCTTCTGACGTAACTATTTTTTCATTCAATACAAACACGTGAATTCATTCATTCTACAACTTAAATGCATTGTGGGAATGTAAACATTGCGAACGTTGCCGTGTCGCTGTTTAATTGTGAGTCGAACTGAGACATCATATCCGTCGAAAAACATAAACCCAATGATTCCACCAGTGATGTTAGCCGAATGAAGCAACTGCAAACCAAGAAACGGGGTGCTACGGAGTAGTTTACTGTAGGAGGCTGTACGAGGCGATGACAACTGACATGCATCGTGACGTCGGTTACCAAGGCAGTGACGTCATTACAGTGTGACGTCATGCAAATATTGTACTACAGTATAAAACTCTTCCGCAACCTCTTTATGAAACCGGTTTCGGTTTGAAACCATAAAAATAACAAAAATACGCTATTTTGTCAATTTAATGCATGTAAGACGTGGGTAATAAATAAAATACCACACTCGGTCTCATTACATACGAATTATACGAAACTCGTGACCTTCCTATGTTATCTGACCTCGCTTTCGCTCGGTCAGATACCAAAGGAAGGACACTCGTTTACACTCGTTTCGTATAATTCGTATGTAATGAGACCTCGTGTAGTATTCTCTATATATCTTACTGCTCTCGCTCGGGAAATACCAACATTTAGGCACTCGTGTATGACATGGGCACTCATATAATATCCTCTATATATTATCACTCACATATTGGGAAACATCCATGAATTCTTTTTCGGAATGTTCCCCCTTAGTAAGAAGAAATCGAAAACTAAATCGTTATGTTAAGATTATTTATATTAAATTATTTTCCAGTTTGGTAAGCTCATTTGAATATTTATGGCACGTTTATGGGCCTGGTTTGTCGACGTGATGACGCTGGCTGTTATGGTCATGTATTGTACGTTGTTATTGGCGCTTTTCAGTGTTCTTCTATGGAGGTCTTAGTATGTGTTTGTCTTTCGGTGCCTGGATCCTGCCCGGAACTATCATCCAGGTCAGCACCTTTAATATCAACAGACAAACAACGTCTACATTGAATACTTAATGCCATTTAGAAAACTGGTCAGATGTTACATATGTAACATTATATTTGGGATTACACTTTCTCAATGAAGTACAGGCTACCTAATCTCGAAACATTCGTAGCCCTACGAACTTCTTAAGCCCATTCTTAAAACATTTGCTACGATCAAAGTTAAGAATTCTTAGCGCTACGAACGTTTCCAGAATAAGGGCCCAGATTCTTGAACTTTTTGGGTGGAGTCCCAGTTCGAAGCCACAATCTCCGTTTACATTAGTACCTGGAAATGGGTACCTATTGTTAAATACCTCTGATTTTGTCAAATATGTAAATAGAAGAAATTGTAAGGTGTTTCGTTCCCTGGAGTCATCATTAGCCAAAGTACATAACTTCTCAATATGATTATGATGTTCGTTTATTTCAGGCTGCAATGGCAATTTCTGGAGCTTGTGCTGGTCCTATACTGGGTGTATTCTTCCTGGGAGCTGCAACCCCGTGGGGAAACATAACGGTTAGAGGCTGACCATTTGACCAGGGGAGGTGGGGGCTGGCATTTGTGTGGACACTTGATATTGTTTTCGGGCCGGTGGGGTAGCCTAATGGTTAAAGCCTCTGCTCGTCACGCTGAAGACTGGCGTTGGATTTCCCACATGGGTACAACGTGTGAAGCCCATTTCTGGTGGTCACGACCGTGATATTGCTAAAAGCGGCGTAAATCCATACTCACTCACTCACTGATATTGTTTTCATCTGCAGCAGCAAAGACAGATAATGCTCTAATTAAAACTATGAGCCTATAAATATGTTTAAACAACCAAAAACTGAACAAGACAACAACCAAGAAACCCAAACAACTAGCATGTCATGCTGTGGCAGAAAAATTCTGTTTTTCAGCTCTGAAGCCCAATTACATTACTCTATGCCCATATATACTCATAACATATTTCATAAATCTTTATAAATTAAGTGTCGCATATAATGCGATGAAGGGAGGCTCTGTCTCAAGTTGTCTCATCAAATGACCTTCAAAGTTGATAGTTTTATGTGTGGCCCAGCGCCACCTACCTACCGCGTACAATCACGTGCAGGATGCGTGTTCTCTCGGCTGTTTGATCCGATGTTTTACAACAGACAGGTATTTTATGTACATGTACCCATCGGGGCATTCTTAGACAAGTGGTTAAAGTGTTCGCTCGTCATGCCGAAGAAATAGATTCGATTCCCCACATTGGTATTACGTGAAGCCCATTTCTGGTGTATGCCGCCGTGATATTGCTGGAATATTGCCAAATGCGACGTAAAACCTCACTAACCCACCCACCCACTCACTCACTCACTTACTTGTACCCCTCCAACAGGGCGCTGCGGCAGGCATAATGGTGTCTCTGATGCTGAACGTGTGGATCGTCCTCGGCGGCGTCTTGTACGGACGTAGACCTGTACTACTACCACCGGCGCCTGGCAACTCCTGTCGTGTCCTGGATGCAGCCAACGGAACAAGCCTGTACATCCCTGACCCGTTCAACAACAGCACCGACCACGTAGATATCACCACAAGGTGAAACGTTCATCTTCCGTTACCTCTGTACCATTGGGGTATACATTACACGGATTCATGATTTGTTCAGTCATACTTTCCACTTCCTCCCTCAGTTTATCTACTTCCTCCTGGCACCCGTCGATATCCTCAATTTTCTCCTCGACCCGCTTTTTGAGAGATTTGACTTCTTCTTTTAGCGGCTCTATATCATATTTTAATTTCTTATTTTAATTTCTTCTTTTATGGGGTTAATTTCGCCTTTAAGTTGTTCAAAGCTCTCTTTTAGGTGTTTTACAATATTTTGAACGTGCTCAGTGATTAGGGTCGTGGCTACCTCTCATGAAAGCTGTCTGAAACTTTTCTTGAAGTTGGGGTAACATTAAGGCTGTGGAAAGTTTCGACGTTAGACCATCAGTAGCGGTATTGTTTATGAAGCTGAAGACAGACTGGTCAAGATAAGAGGGTGTTCCACTTACATTGTCTGTAACTGTTGTTTTCTCCGTGTCCGTTTTCTGTTGTTTTGGCGTACTTGTCACTTTGTTGTCATAGGTGAAGCTCGCACAAAAGTTTTCGGCCATGGTTTTAAAATCCAAAGTCTTTTGCACTGAATCCTGTTTGGTGGATTTAGGAGGCATACTGTCAGCAGGAGATGATGATGGTTTCCTCTCTTCACTGTCGGATCTCGCCGGAACTCTGGCTGTCGACTTGTCCTTGCCCTTGTTTCTTCCCGTTTGGTGAGAATAAACACAAAATGTGCGTCAAATTACTCCAAGGACATCTAGGTGATACCATCTAGCACAGATGTGGACTTTAGTAGACGGTCTAACTTGCGTTTGACTAACTTTCCACCGGTTCAGCGAGATCCCGTGTTAAACACGTCTTACCATGGCCGCCATATTGGATGTATACAAGGCGAGACGTTCATCTGCCGTTACCTCTGTACCATTGGGGTATACATTACACGGAGTAGCTTCAAGCAGGATCTTAAACTGAAGTTGGTTGTATCTATTTTCCAGTGGGTAGTCGAGAAATCTCCAAATTATTTGTATTTAAAAACTGTTAGATTAGAATAACCGGCATTCAGAAGTTTAGATCAGAAACTATATGCGTAGAATGGAAACAGATTTAATGCCCATCATGCAAGCATTAGATTTAATCGTGTCTCTTTCGGTAAGATATTGTAGCTTCTTGCGAATGATAAAATCACTCGGCCAAATTTCATAAACATTCTTAAGCTTTCGTCGACGATACGGAAAGAATGGAAATAGATTTAATCGTGTCTCTTTCGGTAAGATATTGTATCTTCTTGCAAATGATAAAATCACCCGGCCAAATTTCTTAAACATAATTTCGTCACCTCTCATCGCGAATTCATTTTTCTGGACAGCATATACTAATTCACAGTTGACGGAGGCCATCAATACTCAGCATCGCATTACATACAGTGTCCACTCCATAGCGGTGTTTATCCCTGGGTTTATCGATGAAAACAAGCTGTCCAGTGATTGTTTTCCATGAACACGGTATCATAGTATCAAGGACATCCTCTCTTCCGAACTACAGCATAAACACATTATCATATCAGCAGAGGTACAGATAAGCTGCGTATCTGCGTAAATTACGCAAATATTTCTGTGAAAACTCAATTCTTATTAAGTCTATTGCGTACAAGTACGCTTGATGTTTTTTGTAAATACAAATAAATTTGATCTTACATGCGTACACACCAGCATGTCGAATCATAGCTTGCGTACCGGTGCATAGATAAAATAACTGAGGTGTATTCAGAGGTTCTATTTCAACACATGAACTTGGCAAATTGTAGTCTTTCTTATAGTTTCTCATATTACAGATCCAATGTAAATAATATTTAAACTTTATTACATTTTCACAATTAATGGCAAAATACCCAATTGAGTTTGAGTGAGGTGGGAAAATTTATTTGGTTACTCAAAGGAAGATTAGGATACCCAATTAAGATGAATACAAGCGATTACATAACGCAATGACCCAAAAAGGTTATCTGTAGCTCTGTATCAGATAAAAAATATTCTTATACTCTAACATTATATCAGGCTAGTTTTATCACCTTAGTGCTACTATTCTAAATCAATACAAATTGTATTACTAAGTAATATTGCCTATTGCATATTTTGTGAATATCACTATAGAAACTGAAAATCAATATACAAGAACCTAAAGCTTGTACAGAGTTGAGGAATAAATACATAAATATTTATGTTCAATCTCACGTCAAACCTATGCATTAAACAATCTTTTGAACCGTGTAAATCTACTGACGTAGATTAGCTAATAGGTTTATTCTTTGCTATAAAATGTCACTTGGTAATATTGACATGCATATGACAGTTATTTATGATTTGATAGGTAATTTCCAATAGTGCAGTCCAAAAATATACAAGGTTACTTCAAAGGAACTACGCTGCAGAATTGTTGATGTATATGTGAGGTAAAATTGGGTTTAACATCGTGCTTGAGAATATTTCGCTCATATGACGACGTGCATGCGTGTGTATGTGTATGTGCGGCTGCTTGTACTAGCCCAGACTGAAGCTGGTTTTATAGTGCTAGCCCACTGAGATGCCATGCCGCAGTGAAGCATGAATACCCCACTCAGACACATTATACTGACTCCGAGCCGACCAGTGCTTGTTGTACCCATTAATGCCGAGCGCCAGGCAGGGACCAACAAGTACCATATTTTAACGTCTTTTGGTATGACGCGGTCGGGGATCGAACCCGCGACGTTCCGCTCTCCGGGCGGACGTTCTAACCATTACACCACGGAGGCGGCCCGTTGATGTATATGTGTTCAGTGGACTGAAACGTGGTATAGATGTGTCATCATAGATTATCATACACTTTGACGGTGTCGGGGCCTTGTGACTAAAGCCTTCGCTCGTCAAGCCGAGCTAATATTACTAAACGCGGCTTTAAACTAAACTCACTCACTTATAACGGTGTCAAATGTAACATTTTGTAGTTTCCCTACTACTGTGCCTGGTAACGACGCCGAGTCTGGTGGCAACCCCTTCTACAACATCTCCTACCTGTACTATGCCATGATTGGGTGTCTCGTGGCGTTTTCAGTGGGGCTGGTGGTCAGCCTGGCGACAAGTGAGTTGTTGGTGTTGGATTGGCATCAGCAGGCACAACACGACCATCATGAATATATAAATATTCTAAATAATTTATTGCTTTCAAAAATATTAAGTGTATGAATCTACATAAATATATCTCCATGTTCTCGTCGGATTATTGATTTAGTTCAGCGTGGCCATTGTGGTCGGTCATGTGAGTGCTCTTTTTTATGACTGTTAACACGAGCAGCATGAGGATTCATTCCACTTGATTTATTTGTGTAAATGTGGATAGCAAATGGATAAAATGTATCGGACGCTGTTGTCAGAACACCGCCATGAGCCAGTGCGAGATGAGAGGCTCCTCTTGCCCTTTGTGAGGCGATTCTGGAAACTGGGCCATACCAAGGAACCACGACAGGTGAGTGAGTGAGTGTGAGTGAGTGAGAGTGATGTGAGTGAAAAATAACACCCATCCTGACCACTGAGCTTGATAACTTCAGGGACACAAGTGTTTCACTCGCCCATAGTGCTCCAATTCGCTGTACAGTGTTGCTTCTCTATGGCACGCCAGTAACCTATGAACTTGCACTGACGATGTTTCTAGTCTATCATCAAAGTGATAAACGTCCGAGACCTGCATTACTTCGGTCTTCCCTCCCACATTGAGCAGGCACACCGTGATATAACTTTGATATTGTTCAAAATGGCGTTAAAACACAACTCACTCACGTACGACTCCACCACGTTATTATAACGGCATCCCGAGGGCCACAGGTTTTGTTGGATGGGATGGAGTCAACGTTATTCCACCAGATGACCTGACGGAGCAAACTGGGGGAAGCTCCGATATGATGTCAGGGGAAGTAGGCGAATACCACAGGGCATGGGTGAGTGAGTGAGTGAGTTTAGATTTACGCCACACTCAGCAATTAACCAGACAATCCAGTGATCAACAGCATGAGCATCACAGGGCATGGTGTGGATGGACCAGATATCATTATATGGGAATTGATACCGAAGGAGTTCCGATGGAGGATGTAACTAAAGCGCAGTAGTATGATGGGGTTGCTTTACGCTGCTTCTCGCAGTACTGCAGCAATATCAAGGCGGCTGACACCAGACATTTGGGGAACTGAACCAGGGTCTCCGTTGTGACGAGTGAAAGCTTTATCCATAAGGTCACACGAATATCCCAAACTTGTCAGATGTCTGGTATGAGACTGCATCGCCTGCACGAACTAACAAATACTTCAAAGCTGAAGTCTGGACGCGCTATATTCGTGTTTATAACACCTTGGTCTAGATGTTCGAAGCCCTCTTAGATAGTCGTAAGAAAGTCTTAAGTGACATACATTAACATTAACTTGCCCTAAGAGAGCTTCGAAAAACTAGGCCCTGGAGTCTTTGGCATATCCGCACATATTTATTTTCTCTTTTTGTGGAAAATGATCTAATCGCCTGAACTGAGGACAGTTTACATCTATGGTTTCAGACTGGGAAACTGACGGATCCAGAGACGCATTCCATTGAAGGACTTCAGACTCATCAGCGGCTCATCACTGCTGGAGTATTTGAAAAACCGGTTTCCACCATGATATGAAACTGTCTCATATTATCTTAAATCAATCAAGTTAGGAAAATATGAACAGCATTGCCTGCTTAACATCACCATATCCAATAACTCATTTCTATATTGTATTTATAATCCGCCAAAGACAAGTGAAGGTCAACGAGTATGGTAGCTTATATGAAGACGTCAACTAATTGCAAAACGGACATCCTTTCCAGGAATTTGCGTTTCCTGAAGATTAACAAATGATGAAACATTTACCTGACTTGTTTGATAACGAGGTTAGTATCATGGTATTAAAGAAGTTGTACATCAATAGACTTATCTTCCTTGTTATCATACGCGCTGATAAATGCCATATAAAGAAGATGAACGTAGATACAGAAGACATTTGCCCAAAAGAACAGTTTCTGACTGAAACTATTCAATAATAAGCGAAAGACGAGATATACGCATTTTAATCCGTGGGCACATCCCCATTTCGCAGTGCTGCTAGACGGGCATCTGTGGTACAGTTTGGGCGGTGTTGACACTGTGTCGACCAGTTTCCAGTTTCATTCCCAGAGTATATCTAGTCACTTAAATCGATGCCAGAAATATGTCTGCTTGTGTATTCAGACCATGAGCATGGAGTGAGTGAGTGAATTTAGTTTTACGCCGCTTTTAGCAATATTCCAGCACTATCACGGCTTCACACATTGTACCCATGTGGGGGAATCGAACCCGGGTCTTCGGCGTGACGAGCGAGCGAACGCTTTAACCACTAGGCCTTCCCCCCCTGGAACGAACTTCATATATGTACACTTTAAAGGGTACACTATGCCTGTTTGTCTGTTTAACGCGGAACTCGACAATATTCCAGGGTCTCCTTTCACGAAGCAACCTTTACTTAAGGTTAAGGTGTTGATAATGGGGGTTGTATTCTGATTCGGAATACTTTTGACCGTGGTGTATTGAACGTTTTGGTAATTCCACATGCCTTAACTACAGAAGATGCAATGCCAGCTCCGTAAAGCAATGAAATATCCGTTTACTTGTATAGTTGTGAGTTATGTCCCCTTCCTGGCTACCATCTTGTGTTATATCTGAGGATACTTTGTATGCATTATATAGCGACACTACCCTGTTTACATGTTAACCTTGGTCTACACTGGTTAACTCACTGTAGTCAAACTTAGTTGCCTTAGGAACTGTTCGTAATTTATGCCTGGGGGGTGGGGTGGGGTGTGATGATGACTTTAAGAGGGGTCACCCATTTTGTTCTGGGAAGGGTGGTCATCAATTTGGTACACATGTACATTTCGTTCTGGGGAGGTAGAGGGGATCAGCATTTTTGTACACATCAACTGAAGGGGTCAGCAATTTTGTACATACAAATATTAAAACATTATGCTTAAAATTATGGGGTGTGTGTGGGGTGTGGTGGGTTGGGTCAATCATTATGTACATGACCAGGGGGACCACTATTAACTTTGTACATAAATGTTAAGGGGTGTCGTTCACATTGTACATACTTCTCCATTAAAATCATCATCACACCTCCCTAGCCATAAATTTTGAATGGTCACTTAAGTGAAGCAACCACACCTTCACTCAGATTTCAAAAACTAAGGAACACACACATACTATCACAGATGTCGCAAGGTGGTTTTTATGTCTCTTATATACATAAAAACAAAACATATCATACTCACAATAATCATAAAGGGAGATAATATAGTTATTTTCATGTTTTCTGGATAAACATAATCTATATCTAAGTAAAATACAAATAATAAATAATAATGTGTTTCTTAGAGATATACTCTCCTCAAAACAAGGTTGATAACGCCTATAGTTGGGAGGCTGCAGGTTGAAATCCCATCATCCATAACAGATTAACTGTAGACATAATTGGTAATTCCCTAACTTTGGAGTAGCATATTGGCTTACAACTGCCACAAGTCTGTGGTTGATTGGTTGGTTGGTTGGTTGATTAATGCCGCACTCACCAATATTCAAACTATATGGCGGTGGTGTGTAAATAATCTAGTAAGGACCAGACAATCCAGTGATCAACAGCATGAGCATCGATCTACGCAACTGGGATGCAATGACATGAGTCAACCAAGTCAGGAAGCCTGACCAGCCGATGCCCAGTTATACCAACATTACTGTTATATCAAGCACCCCATTATACCAACATTACTGTTATATCAAGCACCCCGTTATACCAACATTGTTATATCAAGCACCCCATTATACCAACATTACTGTTATATCAAGCACCCCATTATACCAACATTACTGTTATATCAAGCACCCCATTATACCAACATTACTGTGATATCAAGCACCCCATTATACCAACATTACTGTTATATCAAGCACCCCATTATACCAACATTACTGTTATATCAAGCACCCCCATTATACCAACATTAGTTATATCAAGCACCCCCGTTATACCAACATTACTGTTATATCAAGCACCCCCATTATACCAACATTACTGTTATATCAAGCACCCCATTATACCAACATTACTGTTATATCAAGCACCCCATTATACCAACATTATTTATATCAATCACCCCATTATACCAACATTACTGTTATATCAAGCACCCCCATTATACCAACATTACTGTTATATCAAGCACCCCATTATACCAACATTACTGTTATATCAAGCACCCATTATACCAACATTACTGTTATATCAAGCACCCCATTATACCAACATTACTGTTATATCAAGCACCCATTATACCAACATTACTGTTATATCAAACACCCCATTATACCAACATTACCATTTTATCAAGCACCCCATTATACCAACATTACTGTTTTATCAAGCACCCATTATAGTTGCCTCTTACGACAAACATGGGTTGCTGAAGATCAATTCTAACCCAAATATTCACTGGTACAGTGAAGCCTCGTTAATCCGGACGATTGCGTTTCTCAGTAAATTCGTCCGGTTGCGAATAGTCGGACTACTGAATCAAGACCCAAGTTGCTTCCCCTAAAATTACAAAACGACACTAATCTGGATAAAACAAATAAGCATTTAATGTAAAGCTTAATTCATCACATCAATAATTTTACCGAGTGACATCCGTGATGTTGATCCGACATGTCTGACGACTAACGTCCTTCCTCAGCACAGGTGAGGTAATGTCTAACAAGCGATCTATGGTAGTATGCCTTGAATGTCGGAATTATTCCTGCATCCATCGGTTGAATATGAGACGTGGTATTTGGTCACATTTCGCAAAGTTAGCAAAGCTAATACACTTGTGACTTGCAGCATTGTCGTAAAAGCAAAATCACTTTTAGTCCAAGTGACCGGATCTGTCTGTCAAAGTACATTAACCAATCACAAAACAGCTCACTTGTCATCCACGCCTTTGTATTGTGGTGTCAATCAAAGTGTAAATGTACAGTATCTTCAGTCGGGAGCTTTTATGTCCAATTAAAACAACAAGCCAGTTGGCCAGTTAATTAAGTAAACATCGCTGGCGGTGTTGTTACGGTTCGTGAACACAACTTACAGCGTCCGGACTGTGAAGCAATTTACTGTTTATTTTACTGATTGGTGACAGCTACTTATCGTCGGTTCGGAAACCGAATTTCGGATTATCGAGGGCAAATTATATAGGCATAGATTGGTAACAAGCTGAAATCGCCGGAGGTGAGACATCCGGATTATCGGAGTCCGGACTAACGGGGCTTCACTGTACACAAGTCTGTGATAGCTTTGTGAAATGGAGTCCATATCCATGGCAATAACTATCATATTATTGGTTACTCTGTCTTTGAGTTACTACTGTGACAAAACACATTAAATATATCATAGCATCTGACCATAACTACTATGACAGTTACAAAAGGTACTTGAATCACTACACAATAAATTATTATAACGAGCATTCTAATGAGCTGTGAGGCACCAATGTTGAGAATAATACATGTTGGTATTTGAATTCCAAATGTTCTGCAAACAGTATTTGGTTTACATTAATATGCAGTAATAAATATACATGTACACAACAGTGTGTCCTATACATATGCAAAATGAGAATGAATGCAAAATGTGTTGCTAAAATTCATTTGATGTAACAGTGACCTGAGACCCCTACAATTTCCATGGCTGGAATGTGTGTGGGAATGTTCATTATTCCTGAGAGACCCTGGTAAATCCCTGAAAGTGACTTTAGCAATTCCTCTGTGTGGGGCTCCCTGTAAGGTATCTGCATGTTGTCAAGTGACTTTAATCTGTATCCGCTGACTCAGCAGTTCCTCTGTGTGGGGCTCCCTGTAAGGTATCTGCATGTTGTCAAGTGACTTTAATCTGTATCCGCTGACTCAGCAGTTCCTCTGTGTGGGGCTCCCTGTAAGGTATCTGCATGTTGTCAAGTGACTTTAATCTGTATCCGCTGACTCAGCAGTTCCTCTGTGTGGGGCTCCCTGTAAGGTATCTGCATGTTGTCAAGTGACTTTAATCTGTATCCGCTGACTCAGCAGTTCCTCTGTGTGGGCTCCCTGTAAGGTATCTGCATGTTGTCAAACACTACCTTCTCGCTGCTGGCAGGTACCACACAGTCCTGCAATACCAATAGACAATTGTCACTTCAAAACTACTCTTCTATACCAACACTACACTGTATACACCAACATTACTGTTATATGAAGCACCCTGCTTTACCAGCATTGCAGTTATATCAAGTGCCCAGTTATACCAACACTAATGTTATATCAAACACTGCATTATACAAACATTACTCTTATATCAAGTGCGCTGTTATACCAACACTAATGTTATATCAAACACTGCACTATACAAACATTACTCTTATATCAAGTGCGCTGTTATACCAACACTAATGTTATATCAAGAGTCACGTTATACCAACACTAATGTTATATCAAGAGTCATGTTATACCAACATTAATGTTATATCAAGTCATGTTATACCTACAATAGTCATATCAAGTGCCATGTTATATCAACATTGTTATATCAAGAGCCATGTTATACCTTCAAAACTTATATCAAGTGTCATGTTATACCAACATTAATGTTATGTCAAGTGTCATGTTATACCAACATTAATGTTATGTCAAGTGTCTGTTATACCAACATTAATGTTATGTCAAGTGTCTGTTATACCAACATTAATGTTATGTCAAGTGTCTGTTATACCAACATTAATGTTATATCAAGAGTCACATTATACCAACATTAATGTTATATCAAGTCATGTTATACCATTACTGTCATATGAAGTACCCTGTTATACCAACATTAATGTTATATCATCAGCCCAGTTGTACCATAAACTCATGTCATTAAATCATGTGCCCTGTTGTACCAACACTACCCTGTTAAACCAGTGTTGTCCTGTTAAATCAACTACCATGTCCGACCAATATACTCCTACCTTGCTGATGTTGTACAGTCCATGAGACGTGAGTTTTATCCCCAGCACCCTTGATGCGTACAGTCTGAGATCTCTGTTGAAGTGCTTACTGCCTGTCCACCCAACGAGAGCATAGTAATACTGACTATGGGGTGCCACGATCAGGTCCACCCTCCTGGCAAGCCAGTCTCTCTCCTCACTCGCAACACTCCGAGGGCATTTGTCAATACAACCAAGTTTTCGTAGCTTTGCCTTCGGCTCATAATCCTCTTCCACACTTCCAGAAAGTTTGCTACAACTGGCAGTCATACCTACTGCTTCCTGTACGACATCTTGTCCATTTGGGGTCAGCCCAAATTGTTTTGGAAATTTACAAATCCCAAGCCACTTTTCAAAATGATCTAACTGTCCTCTTTGACTGAGTTTGAAATCCTGTCGGAGAACATCTTCAGAGAAAGAGTTCCTTTCATAACTACCACAAAGAATGAGTCCTCGCTTTTCCAGCTGTTTCAGTAGTCGTGGCAACATCCCCACCTCCGCTCCCTCCTCTGGGTGGGAGATAAGTAGATCCACATCGTGGCCTGTCTTCTTGCCCCTGGACACAGGTATACACATCAGATACTGATATATTGATCACTTGAGTCATCTTACCCCTAAACATATGCTTAGGTATGATGTACTAATATACTGAACAACAAGTTGTCTTGACCCTAAATATATAACATGAGTGCCAGGGAAAAGTCTTGACTATCATTGATTATCAAGTCAATGATCCAAACCTCTAGGGTATGACTGCTGCCAATAACTGAGTCAGGACCAGACAATCCAGTGATTGATTATCAAGTCAATGATCCACACCTCTAGGGTATGACTGCTGCCAATAACTGAGTCAGGACTAGACAATCCAGTGATTGATTATCAAAAGCAGTGATCCTCACCTCTAGGCTATGACTGCTGCCAAAAACTGCTTCTGGACCAGACAATCCAGTGATTGATTATCAAGTCAATGATCCACACCTCTAGGGTATGACTGCTGCCAATAACTGAGTCAGGACCAGACAATCCAATGATTGATAATCAAGAGCAGTGATCCACACCTCTAGGGTATGACTGCTGCCAATAACTGAGTCAGGACCAGACAATCCAATGATTGATAATCAAGAGCATCTCTGGCTATGACTGCTGCCAATAACTGAGTCAGGATCAGACAATCCAGTGATTGACTATCAAGAGCAATGCAAGTGACTGTACCTTCTAAATCCGCCAGTGAGTTCGACTGTGGTGCCTGGCAGGATCCTCTGGGCTTCAGCTCTCACCATGGATGTGAAGTTATCAGCCTCTGGTCTCTCCACCCTTGTCTGCAGTTCTTCATGGAACGCCAGCCCTGCAGCACGTAAAAGCACCTTGGTGTTGCTTCAGGGTACATTCTGCATCCATTAGGCACAACAGAATCCTATACTCATAGGTTTGAATCCACATCGTTCCAGTTATGTTATCTATGTTTGTCAGAACCATACCTGTCTAATAATAAGCATCTAACATCTGCATCACTTGCTGTGATGTAACTGGAATACCATTCAATGCAGCATTAAAAGCAAATTACTTACTCACCCACTAGAGTCTTCCATAATGCTACCATTAATGTTTTGGCTACTTGGGTGCAAAATGATTCAAATTCAGACGAATGGGGGAACATGTTTTAGTTCTTGCTTTTACATGACTGGGTACGGCTGTTTGATGTGTGGCTCATATTGTAGAAATTGTTTAGTATTTAGTTCGTAGCTAGATCAGTTTTTCCAACAGGCGCAAAAACTGACTTCGACTTTGAATAGAATATGATCAGCAACAGTACAAAATGCATCAGTTCTACAATATCTTTAGTGTCTATAGGTAATTAAGATGCATAAATGTAAAAACATGTACAAAATAGACAAATAAATATTTCAACACTAATAATGACAGCCCATCGAGTGACTAACACATAACCACTGAAGACATAAATAGTAACACTGGTAAACACAATCAAGTAACACAAGCCCCACCCATTGTTATGTCAGCCAATTAGGAAACAATAGTCCTTCAGTGGTTGTGGCCTACCGATATATTTTGCGGGGGTAAGTGGAAAATTGTAATAATCAGTTAACCACTCATATGCCAAGGAACCACTTTGGTTATAACTGACTGACCTATTTTGGCACTGTAAGGATAATTATCATAACTACACACAAAGTTGTCAAAATGCTTTCTACTTTTTTAGAAAAGTAAAGGTGTGAAGTGTTTGTAACTATTATACAAAGACTGAAAATCTCACGCCCACTCACCCCATCTGACTCTCCAGTCTTTGGACAAATCGTCTGCTTCGGCAGCGTCCTGAATGGACGTCCATCCTCTCTCAATCCACTTCTTGGCAGTTGAAGGGCCGACCCCGAACACACCAGTAAACACCTGGAGGAGATCATACCCATATTGGCAAACAATCTTCAAGATTCATTTCAGTTTAACATGTTAATCTGTTAGGAATCCACTCCTGAAGCTCATCCTACTAGTTACAAAAGTTATGGTAATAAGATGTAGAATGGGATGTTTTTTCTGAAACAACTTTTCCCTTGGCCAACAGTCACATGTCTGCAATGATCAACTCAAGACTGGGCACTTCAGGGGTTGATAGTGCAGTGTTCCATCATGAGAACTGAATAATATACCTTCTGATCTGATTTCGGACAAGTTAACGATCTGTGAGACAACTCCACCCTCTGCTATATACACCACTAGACAGCAAGCTCTGGGCTTCATAGTAGGTTATTAATATGAAAACACTCACCCCAACATATGACAGACACTTTATCCACATGACTATAGAGGTTAAATCCATGAACATAAAGGATAACTCTTTGACCATGAATGTTAACGCCATGACTTATAGAAGTTAACTCCATGACCACAGACATTAACTCTATGACCATAGATACTGCATCCATGACCACAGACATAGAATCCATGACCTTAGACCTTAACTCCATGACCAAGAGGTTTACTCCATCAACATGCTGGTAAGGTCAGGATATCATCTGTGGTATGACTCCACCTTTGCTACATACTTTCCCATCAACAGGCAGCATTTTCTGGGCTGCAGACTAAGGTCAGAGATTGACTTTGCTTGGATACATATAAACATAGGATGCAGACTAACCCACTGTAGACTGACAATATAAGGATGCCGCGATCTGTGGGACGACTCCATGCCATGCCAAAAAAAGGGCAATGATCTATTGGGTTACAGTGACAACATACAACCAGCCAGGTGAAAGCCCATAACAACCAGCCAGGTGAAAGCCCATAACAACCAGCCAGGTGAAACCCCGTAACAACCAGGGCATCACTCATCAGTCCTCCAGTCAAAATCCTACCACTGGAAACAATTTCAATACCTTCATCTTGTTAAACCATGCGTCGGTATTAATCTGGTCAACCTCTGAAGACAATCCATCTTCTAGGATGTCCTGAAAGATGGGACACAAACTGTGTCACTTAACAATGCCCTGTGGGTTCGAATCTCGGATGGGACTCAACCCAAAAAAGTACTAGAATTTGTACTTTAATAAGAGAGAGTAATCCCAAATGTAACATATGTTACATGTTGAGTCACTTATGTTTTCTTTTCTTTAAGACTTTTTTCGTCAACATGTAGGACACATACAAAGAAATTCAGGTTAACTTGACTTCAGATTCTCTCTCACTCCCTCACTCTCACTCACTCTGATATGAAAAAGCAGCATTTAATGGAATGTAAAAATTCAAACTGAAAGTTCCCTTGATCATTTTTAGCAACAGACAGCATTCAGTTGCTTGAAACACTGATGTTAAAGATATAACTCTTCCTTAATTACACTATTACAGTCTACATCAACATAATATAAGATAAATACTTCAGTAACTGACAGATGATGTCTTCCAACCTCTACAACTCTCTTGACATGGTCCCCAACATCCTTGATATTGCTGATCTGCGAGACGTCCGTCACTCTGAAGGGCAGACACTTGAGCACACATGATGCACGCCGGAATGCCAATGCTCGGCTATAGTCCTGCTCCTGATCTCTTAACTCGGAATGAAGCTGTAGTGTCTCAATATCAGTCTAAAACATATATATCATGTTGTCAATTACCAGTGATGCAGACATAATGCAGTCTGTGCCAAAAACATTTTAGCCTGCTTGTCAGAACCTAGTGCTTAACATCATTTTCAGCTTTATTATATCAGACAAAACAGTATTTTACTGGACTTGGACTTCGGACTAGTGGCTAAAGTCACATACTAACAATGGTATTGACCTGCCAAGCAATAATTCAGTCCTATTTTCTTTCATCATCAATTTGCTGTTATGTCGCACTTCGGATAACTAGAAGTATTTATGTACATGACTTAGATGTTTCTGGGCATGCAGGAAAAATATTTGGATCATAAAAAATTCACTTTAAAGTCGACATACAAATGACAGTGGATGATAAGCTTACATCTTGTCACATGGAACTTATACTGTAAGATTTGTTAGAACAATTTGAAAGTTCATACTCACTGTTAACCGATGGTTGTAATGTTCTAGAGGTGTGGCCCTCTGACACGCCCACTCTGGCAGCAAACTTGGGTTCTTGTCTTCAGCTTCATTACCATTTTGGGCAGATTCCTATGAAACACAGTATGGTATTTCTTGGTAGGAAATATATCAGCATTTCTCATGTCAAATGGGCTCATGGTAGGGCTCATGTCAGCTGATTTAACTAAAATATTTTTCTGTACAAATTAAGCCCAATTCTCTCTCTAAGACAATCCCGAATGACACACATGCAAGCATAATGAATTTTACATCATACAGTATCTGTATATGTGATATTGTAATGATTGTCATTACCAACAGCTCATGCTTGAGCCTATAGGCTTCTGTGGCTGGGATGACTTTTCCTGCCTTGAAGCAATCAGTGAGCCATCTAAGGGACACAGTTTCCACATCGCCAAGTGAGGCAACATTGTCCATCTTCAGTGCTCTGACAACTTGCTCCATGGTCTCAAATTCAGTCACGACGTGGGTCACCTCAGCACTAAATATGAAAAACACATTAATAAATGACTTCTAAATTTGGTAAAATCACTGCAGGTTTTACTGTGAAACATTCAAAGACAGTATTGTGGATATCTTATGTATAATAATGTATTAATTTCAATGAATGATGAAAGACAAATATGCCCTGAATGAAAACTAGTAACTGGCCAATTGCGTGTGTAGGCTGAAAACAATCGTCTGCTACGATGGGCAACACAAATCACTTCCTGTTTTCAACAGAGAATCTTTCTCTGAGTAAGTAAAATTGAGACAATTCATTTGAGCAAACGATCACTGATAAAATCAAGATAACCTATGAACAGTATCTGTCCATAACGAGTCTGTATGTTTTATGATGTGCCATGATAATAACATGCTAGACCATGCAACTTTCACTGCAACAGACATTGACAAGTTGAAGTTCCTATCAAAACTCGTCTCGTTTTTTCAGTATCTGTGTCCCTCAGTGCCAAATGTCTTACCTCAGTTCGCTCACAGTATTCACACCTCTCTTCTTAGCTGCTATTTTTATTGTTTCCAATCGACGTTTTTGAATTCGTTGCGGCATTATGAACACTTTTAGCCGGTTGAACGCGACCTCACCACTATCGACAGCCATGTTTACTTCCTGATGAAGGGGACGTAATGTAAGCTCCTTACAGTTGAAACTTGGTTCAAACTATGCGTAGAGTTCGTTTCCATACAGCTCTCGGACGAATTTTGCTAGCTACATCAGCTTCCATTCAAATACGTATCTGTGCATACATTGATAGACTAACATCTAGTCGATGAAGTGAACATATTTTAAAGAAAAAAGCGGTTCCTGGGTAATAATAATAAATATAATGAAAAGGAGCTCAAAGACGTTCTTCGTTTTCAGAAACACGAAACTATGGTAATCTAGGGCCTATTCGATTATGCTAAACCGGTTTTGGTTTCTAGAAAACCATGCACTCGATTAAAACTGGGTTCTGAAACTTCGAAACCATCTCCGAGGCAGGTTTCGCAGTTTCGGTTTCGCGTTCCCTCACAACAAACATGGCGGAAACGAAGTTCAGGTGACCTTGGCGGCAAAATAGAGCAGCCGTTTCTGTAACCAAAACAGTGATAAAAATCAACTGAGAACTAGGAAAATATTATGTAAAACCCCAGTCTATTGAATACGGAAGCGCTGAAGGGACCTGATGAAATAATAAAATTTATCTTGAGCGCACGAGTTAGTACGGAAGCGCTGAAGGGACCTCATGAAATAAAAATTATCTTGAGCGCACAAGTTAATATCTTGAGCGCACAAGTTAGTATCTTGAGCGCACAAGTTAATATCTTGAGCGCTCAAGTTAATATCTTGAGCACACAAGTTACTTATCTTGAGCGCACAAGTTAGTCATCTTGAGCGCACAAGTTAGTATCTTGAGTGCACAAGTTAATATCTTGAGCGCTCAAGTTAGTTATCTTGAGCGCACAAGTTAGTATCTTGAGCGCACAAGTTAATATCTTGAGCACACAAGTTACTTATCTCGAGCGCTCAAGTTAACATCTTGAGCACACAAGTTACTTATCTTACTTGTGTGCTCAAGATACTAACTTGTGCGCTCAAGATGTTAACTTGTGCGCTCAATATACTAACTTGTGCGCTCAATATACTAACTTGTGTGCTCAAGATACTAACTTGTGCGCTCAATATACTAGCTTGTGCGCTCAAGATAAATTATATTTCATCAGGACCTCATGAAATAAAAATTATCTTGAGCGCACAAGTTAATATCTTGAGCGCTCAAGTTAGTTATCTTGAGCGCACAAGTTAGCATCTTGTGCGCACAAGTTAATATCTTGAGCACACAAGTTACTTATCTTGAGCGCTCAAGTTAATATCTTGAGCACACAAGTTACTTATCTTGAGCACACAAGTTACTTATCTTGAGCGCACAAGTTAATATCTTGAGCGCACAAGTTAATATCTTGAGCGCACAAGTTAATATCTTGAGCGCACAAGTTAATATTTTGAGCGCACAAGTTAGTCTCTTGTGCGCACAAGTTAATATCATGAACACTCAACTTCGTGTTTACCATCTAATGGCATTAATGGAACGCACATTTGCTTGACTGCTGGCTAAAATGTACAAACTTATATCCTTTTTGGAAGATTTAAAACGATGCAAAGTTAACTACATAGGTGTTTATAGGTGTTTATGATGAGACTATGTAAAAGTATGCATATGTATCATGAACATTGATAATGTTTATCATGTAAACGTTCATTGTCTTTATGCTTGTCAATACTATTCTTTGTATCTGATTTTACCACTTTTTGCTTTATTACATAAAGCAGGCCTAGGTATGTGTAATGTCATTATAAGAATTAAACATAAACATGAGTAGGAGTTTATTGCAGGGGTGAATAGTGGTTTTACTTACTTCTTATATTGATACATAGTATTATGAACACTAGCGTAAAGCTTGGATAACTTGTTTTGTGCTACGGCTTTATTATGTATATATAGTATTACATGACCATGAAAATGTAAACATTGCGTGTTATACTTAATTACCTTAATTCTAAAGCTAATGTCTGATGTATTGGAAGTAAAGTCGACCACTTTCAGGGAACTATAGTCTGTAGTCTTGGTTTGCATGTATCAGTAATGTTTCCTAAAGTGGGTACAATGGCAGTTTAACTCTGTACAATATCATATAAAACCCGCCTGATTTATTTGATCCATTAGTATGTGCACGTATAGCATATATACCGACTTTATTTCTTACTATAATACCGTGTTCCCCGTTTCACTTCTTCCGTGTCAATCTCTTATGTATACGTATGTTGTGCCCTTAAACGCACAATGGTCTTAAGTGCACAGAAATCATGAATATTCATGAAAGGGCGGAGCTTATGTCATGTTTATTCATGATTTCTGTGCACGTCGATGAAGACAGTGTCCTGAGCGAAATTCAACACCATCCGGGTCCAACAACGACCGTACAGTATCCTGTTTCACGATTAAACCGCATTGGATACATTTTTGATGCATCAACGATAACCATGTCTTTGTTCAGATGGTCGAAGCTGTCCACAATAAAGTATGTAACATCCGCGGTGCGTGTGTTTGTGTGTGTGGTTGTGTGTGTGTGTGTGTGTGTGTCTGTGTGTGTGTGTGTGTGTGTGTGTGTGTGTAGCCTCGTGGTTAAAGCGTCCGCTCGTCACGCCTGGGTTCGATTCCCCACATGGGTACAATGTGTGCAGCCCATTTTCTCGTGTTCCCCACCGTGATATTGCTGGAATATTGCTAAAAGCGGTATTAACCGTACTCACGCACTCACTCACTGTAACATCAGCAAATCTGGTATCTGGTGCGAAAGAGGGACATACACCTAAGAATACGCTTCAAGTGGCGTACTATACCATGATTTTTGACAAGAAGATGTGTTATGTGTTTGTATTGGAACCCAAGACTAAAATAAGCATGAATCAGTTCGCGTTTCCGCTCCTCCTTGCTTCCACATGAACTGCTTATGGAGCAGTATCTCAAGATACTAAGTTGAGCGCTCAACATACTAACGTGTGCGCTCAAGATACTAACTTGTGCGCTCAATACATTAACTTGTGCACTCAAGATAACTAACTTGTGCGCTCAAGATACTAACTTGTGCGCTCAATACATTAACTTGTGCACTCAAGATAACTAACTTGTGCGCTCAAGATACTAACTTGTGCGCTCAATACATTAACTTGTGCGCTCAAGATAACTAACTTGTGCGCTCAAGATACTAACTTGTGCGCTCAATACATTAATGCACTCAAGATAACTAACTTGTGCGCTCAAGATACTAAGTGCTCAAGATGCGCTCAAGATGAGTGCTAGATATTAACTTTGCACTCAAGATAACTAACTTGTGCGCTCAAGATACTAACTTGTGCGCTCAAGATGTTAGCTTGTGCGCTCAATATACTAAGTTGTTGGCTCAAGATGTTAACTTGTGCGCTTAATATACTAACTTGTGCGCTCAAGATAAATTTTATTTCATCAGGTCCCTTCAGCGCTTCCGTAATTGAACATGACTATTTTATGTAACTTGTATACATATAATTGCTTGTTACAGTATAATTACATATACGCAAATATTTACCTCCTAAAGCATCTCATCTCTTTATTATTTGTTCATTCCCTGATAAAATGACAAAAAATATTACCTTCGGCAATGCTGTCATCCAATTCCTTCCACATATATAGTAGCTGAGACATTTGTTTGTATCCATTTTGAAACCGGATGGTGAAACCATCCACTCGTTTATAAAACTAGAAACTAGTTTCACTTTGAAACCATGTATCCGAAACTAGACACTCGTTTATAACAAGAGAAACCAGTTTCAGAAACCAAAACCAGTTTCGCAATAATCGAACAGGCCCCTAGACTTGCCACATATTCTAGACTTTCATGGGCTTTCTTAGATATGCTTGTTACAGGTTCTGTATGACAGAGTAATTTTATTTTCCTTTCTGATTCATTCACACTTATTTACCGGCCAGTGTGTAAAGATACAGAGTCAAACCTCGGAGATATTCACATACTTTCCTACAAAACCGCAAAACCTGTTACTCTCCAAACGGTTATAGCCACAGGGGCTTGTAACGCTAAAAACTGCCATCAAGGTATATACTGTCACTGACGGGGTCTTAGTACTGCCACAGGGGCTTGTAACGCTAAAAATTGCCATCAAGGCATATACTGTCACTGACGGGGTCTTAGTACTGCCACAGGGGCTTGTAACGCTAAAAACTGCCATCAAGGCATATACTGTCACTGACGGGGTCTTAGTACTATATAAAAGGATCCTTTTATACAGTACTAAGCCCCCGTCAGTGCCTGCCTTGGTGGCAGTTTTTACCGTTACAAGCCCCTGTGGTTATAGCTATGACTATGTTGTTACCGGATACTAGACCATTCGTACCCACGGAGATTCGTACCCAACGAAAATGGCTGACTCGTACCTAATTTAATTCTCGTCAGATTCGTTGGAGACCTTTTTTGGTCGCCTCGTACCCAGATTTGGATGATTCCAAGCCAGATGTAGATGATTCGTAGCCTACCCACATTTTGATTAATCGTACTCAAATTTGAGAGACCCGTGCCGAAATGTTGATGACCCGTACCCATTTATTTCGTGGTCGAAACCGGATTTGCATTAACCGGTATTTGCTGTAGTCACGATCAACTAGAGTGAGTGAGTGAGTTCAATTTTACGCCGCACTCAGCAATATTCCAGCTATATGGCGTTGTTCTGTAATAATCGACTATAATTTATTCATCACTTATTGCTGCACGTTGATTCCAATCTATTCTTAACACTATTACTTTTCCAGTATTCATTATATACATTTCAGTCTTTCAATTTAGAATTTAAGTTGGAACCTGGTTGGAGTAACAAGGGGTTTACACAGTCGGCGATTGGATTGGGTCACCACAGCATTTCCTGTCTCAAACAGCTAGCATTTCGAGGGCACTGCATATAATTTCATTGATGAACTTTTGAAAACAAACAATCACCAATTTCATTGGGTACGGATTCGTTTTTAGGTGTACGAGTCATTTAGTTGTTTAGGTTCGAGTGGGTACGGGCTGTCCAACATTTGGGTACGAGTTAGCCCAAAACGTTTGGGTTCGACTCTCCGTGCCTACGGATCATCGA